CTGTGTCGGTATTGCAAGAAGGATTGCCACGGGAGATCGTTTGTTGGGTCCAATTCTGTGCGCGGCCACCTGCACATGCGGCGAGTACGTGCCGGGGTGCATGAACGAGGCGGACTGCGAGGGGGATCTCATTTGCTGCCAGGATGAGGGTTGTCATGTTAGGCAGCAAAATACGATAGGGGGCACCAATGTGTGCACAAGAGTCCAGGACTGCCGGGCAAGGGAAAAATGCGGTTGAGGCTGTCTTTGGACACTTCCTGTGGACGGAGCGCCAGCGGTGAGACAAAGCGTTCAATGCGTTTTTCTGCATGATATTAGCCAGAGCAGCAGTGGACAAATAGATGAAATTTCATTCCCATGTGAGCAGTGTCTACCATCAATTGGCATATAAAGTTGCACCACATAGATCACAGGTGGAAGGAGCTGTTGCTCGAAATGAGAGTGGTAAAGTTACCAGAGTGGTAAAGTTGAAGAGGGATGCAAGAGCGCCAGTAATTTTCCAATCAAACATTGCAATGCCGACAAATCCACGTGCCATTCCACTCCGTATTTCTTGTTATGAAATCGAAGCTGTTGAGACCGTGAGCCTATCATCTGATGTTGTGTTGATGCAAGCGGACGCGACTCAGAAAATGAACATGATCACACATGCTGAGAATCCTCCGATGCACCGGCAATGTTTGGACTCAACATATAAATTTCTGGGGATGTAGAGGGCACGGAAATCAAGTAAATTATGTTGCTTAGGATTAACCACACATTTTGAGAGCAGCCATGCCAGGGAGCTGGACACCCCAACGGCTGAGTGAGGGCAAAGGCAAGGGTTTCATGCCTTCCTTCGCGAATAGCAGCAGAGATAAACGGCCATATTGTGAGACCCCCCCAAGTTGGAAAGGTTGTAGTTCTAGCACATCATATGCGGGATGTTGAGAAACTTTCCATACCCGTGAGAAATGCCGTCACCAGCTTCACCACCTGTGCATTATCATGGAGCTACCTATCATTTCCGGATGGAAAGATAATGAAAGAGTCAGGAATATCATCAAAAGCACGTGGGCTCCAAAAACCTGAGATCTAGAATACTCTGAAGCCGAAAAACGACCTTTATGTGGCAAACGAAGGATATTGGACAGTTGGGCGCGTGTCCTGAGAGTTCCACAAAAGGAAGCAGTAGTGGTTGCACGATTTCACACTGCATTGATGGATATTGCGTTAACTGATGGGCAACTTCAGAAAGAGTGAAAAGACCAAAACGTGTACAAATAGACGTTCAACCTAGCTCGGCCCTAAAGAAAGGAATGCACCAAATTCTAGATCCCCAAGCCCTAATCTACAAGCAAAAACATTCAGATAATCTTCGTGACCATCCCCTCCTAAAATGAAGTGTATCAAATATCTGTGCTCCATACGGCTGGACCAAGTTGAGCCTCACTTTGGGTTAGTTTCCCCTCACTGAGCGTAAACCTTATTTTGGACTGGTTCGAGCAAATGCGACTTGAGCATAGGCTTGAACATGGCAACTATGCCAGTGGGTGAGCGATACAACAAACGTAATATTGACCCCCTACTGCGGTGTGCTTGGCGACAGCATTGGGGCTCTTTTGCTGATGTCCTGAGCTGCGTATATCAGAACTTGTGTAGATCGCAGTGTCCATTCTAAATTCAGCACTGCAAGCACAATGACTTTGCCTAATTTGCAGAAAGATAGCAGCACGTGGCATTGTCCAGACCAAAAGTCAGAACACAAGAGGATAGACGCTTACACGCATTCACGCGTTTATGCGGAAGCCAAAAAAACGTGCAAGAACAGGCATAACCATATTGGATCAACAAAGGACTGTTGCACGTTATCGCTGAAAAATATCAGCTTGCCGCTTCCTGGAGCAACCCAACGGCACGTGCACCTTGGCCTCCCAAACGTTGACGATGCCATCGAGAAATCAATTGTCCTCTAAGCACTCTAGCACGGCTGGCTGTCCCTTCCCAGAATCACGAAGGGGCAGCAGAAGCAGAAGGTGGCTATATGGAATTGGTATTCGACATTTGGAAAGAAGCAGACATTGACGCAATGCCGAACAACGATCCAGTAAACGTCTTTGTGTCAATATAGACAAACGTTGATGTGTACACCTGTGAGTGGGGTGCGTGAATGCTCTGATGCACTGGCCCTAGTGCCATTTAACTCTGCATGAAAGATGTCATACACACAGTGTTGCATGAATTTTCAACCGAATTGCAGAAGCTTCTGCAATTTGGTAAAAATTGACGTGCGTCTCCTTAGGACAACGGGTTCGAGGTCAGTGAACTTAGGTCACCACGAATTGACCCTTAATCAGGGGGCATGTTGAGCGGGGAAGATGGTCCGCTAAGAAAACGGGAGGTGCCTCAAGCTTCAGGTCATTGGGGGGCATAGGCATGCATAACAAGTCGCGTTCATGGATTGCGCATATGGAAAACATGACAAACTTTTGGCACATTTTATGGAAACGTACATGTACCGTAAATACAGCTCGTTTGCTTAACAGGTCTGCCATGACTGACGCCATTCCAGCGTTTTTCTTTCGTCCATAGTGATGGATTCAGCCTCCAGTCACAGCGCTAGACAAGTTGGCGTACTTTGGAAACGGTTAACTCGCTCAATTTGATATTCTATTTTAGTCATGATACATGATCTTGTTCGAGATGCGCTGTTTGACTCATGTCTCAACGGGGAACAGCGCCCCTTCGTCGTCCTCCTCGTCGACCATGATTTCGAACTGCCACGCTTGCGCTGCGCCAGGCAGTTGAGCGCGTCGACTGGGAAGTGCCCGCATCGATGGGGCTCTCCCCCGAGCCTCTGAAGAACTAATCGATTTTCGGAAAACCGATGGCAGCTGTGTGTTTTACTCCATCGTATTACGTCACTTTTCAGAGTTCAGGCGCCTCCCCCGTCCTATCACAAGGCACGCGGGTCTTGTGCACCTAGAAAGAAAGTGCAAGGGGATGTTACACCCCTGGAAGGCGTTCTGTGCAAAAGCTGCATATTCTTATGAAAAAGAGCTTCAACACTCCTGGGCAATTGCAATTGACTGTCAAAAACACCAATTGCAGTTGGTTTTTGAAAGGCCAGTGAACTGCAATATGGCAGCTGGTTTTCAGACGTTGACCGAATGAAATCGGCACACAGGTGGTCGCCGGTTCGTTGCGCGCCGCCGCCGGCGGGCCCCAAGAAAGGTACCAGCGCGAAGGCGCAGGCGATCATAGCGCCCCACCAGGGCGTTCCCGTCGCCGGCAGAAACTCACACCAGCAAGGAAAGTGACAATTCTGCGATACCAGCTGCGATTCCGTTTGACGCTCATGGATGCCTTCGTATCTACAACGATCATCGGCATCATGCCATCACAATCACTGTGATGGCGCCGCTTTGTGTAGAAAAGGCATCACACTCGGCATATCAAACATGGCGTTTTCTGTAGTGTCGCAAGTACAGGCACTCGGAGTGTCGACAAAAGTGCCGCAATCTTCGAGCCGATTGGGATCAGGGAGGGGATGAGCGCAGCCGAAGCCTACAGCATTCCAACAAGTGGCGGAACTTGAAGAAAATATCATAGCCTGTGATGTGCTTATGACTTAGAGTCATACACAACATCTTTTTGTGACACCTGCACATAACACCTTGGGATGCAGAGCCCCAAGCTGCGGTGACGCAAGCACACAAGATGGCGCGTGACCTCGAGCAGTCATGGATGGTGCTGCGTGGCCAATCGGGGCACCTGGCAGAAAACAGCTGCCGGGCTTCCAAGGCGTGAAGCTCACACTGTGAGCACGACATTGCCAACATCACACTGCGAACTTCACAGCGCAGTTCGCACCACCGGTGTGGCGACGGCCCTCGCCTGTGCTGGCACGTTAATGGCTGGTCCAATGTTTGCCGTTCGTTGGTGGGATTGTGGGGAAAGCTTGGGGGGCGTCCGTTTGCGCCACCCCAATCCGCTGCGTCAAAGGTATTGAGCAATGGGGCTGCAGCCTGTCTTGCTGAACACCACCACTACCGCCACCGCATAAATGAAAAGAATATGTACTCTTTCGGATAACTGGTCGTGATGGTTTAAGCCATAAATTTTATCATGAACAGCAACCTTATTGAGCACGATTCTTTCCCGTCAACACGCTTTGTAGCTCGCTGATACGTGATTTTTGTCAATTTGGTCCCGGACCGAAAGCGCGGGTATATGGGGCAATTACCCGAAGCACCGCTCGACGCTTCTGCTGTGGAATTACTCATGCGTATGCTGCAGAGTGGAATGCCGCGCAGGGCTTGCAGGTCGAGGGCAAGATAAGTGAATACACGGCATGCTTCCCATTCCTGCCCTCCAGCAACATTCACCGTATGCAGATGTGTCCTCTATGGTGCTAATGCATGGCTCATGGGGACGACCTGACCAAGGGCATCATCCTGCTCACGATGGGCAAAGATTGCGCACGTGCCAGCATCGGAGCTTGAACAGTGGATGACAGTGCAAGACCTGTCCAGCCCAACTTGACTACATAATTACATTGCATGATTGCACCGATTCATGCCCACAATGTGTGAGACGCGCTAGGTCCTTTGCTGCACAAGCAGCATCCACACGTGCCTCCATTCAGAGCCTATCTGCCACGGTTGGTGTGAGACCACTGTGTTATTGATGTTGACAACTCCAAGGCATTCATAGAGAAATTCTGTGCAATCCCCTACTTCAAACGTAGGCCCCTATAAGACTGCCTGCCTCTACACATGCATAAAGAGACACATCCAACTCAGGCAATGTCACATCTGGCACGTGGCCTACCTAATCAGATCCAGCACATGCAAACAGGCGACGTCTGCTGTTGCACGCGTGCCAGACACGTTGCCCTTCCTCAGCATATCCCCACCCACTCCAAACACAGTATTGTACAATGTACTTGGGTAACTGCATTATTGATTGTACACCGGATCAGTGCCCGAAGGATCTGTTCATCCTACATGCCACCCACTCTACTTGTTTGCCACCATCTTGGCAGCCTCGCTGGTGAACTCCTCCCCCGTCCACTCCGCATCGTTCAAGATGCCCTCCTGCTTCTTGGCCCTGATCGCCGCCCTCTGCCTCTCCACCAAGTCCCTGTGGGTCGTAAAGTACTGCAGGCTGGAACCCTTGAAGCTATCGATCCCACCAAAGTCGTGGTCACTCATGAACTGCTGCAGCCCCCCGCACAGCTTCTTCACCAGTGGGTAGCCATGCACCATGACGCCCGTGCAGACTTGCACCGTGTCCGCGCCCAGCAGCAGAAACTCTGCGGCATCTCGGCCTGTCTCCACGCCACCTATGCCTGACAGTGACTTGTCCTGGCCGCCGAACTCGTCACGGATCAGCTGGGCCACCCGCATCACCTTTGACACATCGAGGCTGGTTATCACTGATTGCATTCGTTGGTATGTGACGATAATGCGCGTTTGGACACTGTGGGTACACGACTCTGTACTTAGTTAATGTGCATTCAGTACATCTACTCAGCACATAAAGTTAGAACATGTACTCACCATGCAATACTTTATGCCCACACTGCCCTGAAGGGTGCTTCAAGCACTGCCCTTCACCTTGTAATCATGCCTTTCGTTGTCCCGTTTCCCAATGCAAGAGATGACAGATCAATACCTGCAGGGTGCAAGGGCGCTGTTCTGCACAGCAAAGGAAATACACGACACTACACAAAACATATGAACAAAACATGCCCAAGCATGGAAGAAATTCTGACGGCACTTGGTGGACAGTGGAAGATATCGAACACACCTTGGCCAAGGCGATCGGCTTCACGGCCTTGTAGCTGTACCCCCCTGGGGTGGTGTAGCCTTCCACAGCCGGCTCAGGCCGCAGGGTCTTCAAGTTCACTCCCATCACCGACTGGATCGTGTTGATCGCCGACACCCCCTCACACCCACCCAGCAGGGCTGCTCTGGAGGGCTGGGAGATGTCGGTTATGTTGGGGGTCATTTTCGCCCACACGGGTACCGTCGCTTTGGCATTGATCCAGCCGCAGACTTCCGTGAGCATTTCGGAGTCCTGGCCCATGGCCATCCCCATGCCGCGCTCTGGCAAGCCGTGGGGGCAGGAGAAGTTGATCTCAAGCCCATCCACCCCAGCACTTTCACACCTTCAGGGAATCAGCACAGCATTCTATGGGCATGACTCTGGCATGGCAACACGTGATGATGGGAAGCAGCACACGTTATAGACCTTCCAGGACCATTCTTGCAACACTGTCGTAGACTATCAGTATTGCCACTGCCTCAGCGTTATTTTTTGGATGGAACGCCGGACGAGACCACTCTGTTTTTGCTATGTCATGCGTGTGGGAGCACATTCACCGTTTGCTGTGGACACTGCCATTAGGTGGCCCAGATGCCAAATTCCAGGAATTGCAATTGTCACTGTCCTGTACAGGACCACCCGTTGAACCTTGCTAGCGATGATGGGCCAACAAACGTCCAAACTGGTTGCGACACACTGCCCAGTTGCACAACTATACAATAAATGGCCTGGATGCGGCATGCATTATTTGTTGGCTTCTGACCTGTGTAGTGGTTTAAAACAAAATATTCGCCAGAGGAGCTCCATATATGCCCAACATAGAATCGATTTCCCTGAATGTGGCTGCGAGTAATACATCTGAAACTGAAACACATACAGGCGAAAAGGGAAAATTTGGGGAGGGACCCAGATGCTGTGACACTTGCATGCCACTGTGAGCCGTTTTCAGCACATCAAATGTTGCTACAAGGCATTTATTTGTTTGGCTTTGGACATGGGTAAAAATGACTGTGGGATTTTGATGGGGTTATAGTGCAAGCACGTCAGCACTGGCATAATCTGGGCCCCAGAGAAAGGGCATCAAACAGTGCCATGCAACCTTCTTTTTGTGCTGTTCAATAACTCACTGCTGGACAGTACAGGTGCCAAAAACGCCAGAAACACAGTACACCCATTTCAGAATCGAGTTGTGCAACTGGCTATTCTGCACAAGCCTGTTGAAGCATTGAGTGAAGTTGTAAGCAAATCTGTCCACATCCTTGTCGATCCTGTGATCTAGTCAGCAATCTGTCTGATCTGCTTGGGCAGGTGCCCAGGCAAATGCCAGATGGTTTTGCTGGGCAATTGCCTGGAGTTCTCACCTCTCGATTATTTCCTCCCAGGCCTCCCTCCTGTATTCTTCCATGATGGATGCAAGCAGCACCCTGTCAGGGAATTCGTCCTTCAACCTGCACACGTCAACAACGGCAAAGAATATCAGGCAGCAGCAAACAGGGAGCCGGTAGCATTCGATAATATACATTGTCCTTGCAGTTTCAAAGAATCTTTCGCACAATATCCTGTGTTTTGTCATGCTGTACTTGTGAGGATGTTTCGTTCAATTATTCCACAAACCATCAACAGTCCACATAGGCAGAAGGAGGAAATGGGAACGAATATGTCTAAGCCAAACACGTGTGTATGCAAATAGCAACCAAACATTGTCTATCCGGTGAAGGACGTAGATTCACTGATGCTGAACAATGCATTCAATGATTCGTGCAATGAGGGAGTAAATGAATCCACCCAATGTAAAGCCCCAGCCCAGCCAGCAGCACTAAAGGCTGTGTGCCACATTCCTGAACGACCTTCTGTTCTGTGAGGCGTTTGTCGATGAGAAGCATTCCAAATCAGTGTGGAAAGAGCCATTCTCGCAACATAATAGCACCCGCTATCGCCTTTCTTGCGCAAGGATAGGGATTCGCTATTCAAAGGCAGATGCCATCAAAACAGTTTTCTGTCTTATGTATTGTGCAGCCAGACAGTTCTTCTCAAATAGAGAAGAAAGTGCAAATGAGCAGCGAAAACATAGGGCACTCTTTTTGGACACTCCTCGTCAGGCAAACATGTGGGGACTGTGTGTAAGTTGTGTGGCTGATGAACTAACATTCGACTGGCTAGATGATTCACCCACTCGCTGAGGACTGCACTGAGCACCAGTCCTGTTGTTGTCCAAGGCATTGCCGGTAAATGTACACTTTGGTGTGGGAGGAGCCTCTCAAGCCTTCACACTTCTGATGAGCTGCACATCATACTGAGTTTCTTTCCTCTTCAAATCCATGTTCTCCTGTTCACCATTTTCGATTAAGAAGTATTGCGCTCCTAAGAGGTGGGCCCTGGGGTGTGCCTTTTGCCCAGCATTGCAACATCCTTGGAAACCGATGGGACAGAAGATGCCGCCCTACGATCTGCACTCAGCATGCACACTACTGTAGAGATCCCTGCTTTAATCAAATTGCTCCATAGAAGTACATTCAGTCCGTAAAGTAACAAAGCTGTCACAGGCCTCAAGAAAAGGCTCACTTTGCTTCAGGTGTCTTTTATGTTAATGGTGCATTCAATTGTAACACCATTTGTAGGAAAACCTTCTTCTGTTTATTCTTCCTCTGTTACACGTCTTCTCCTTCTCTTCCTCTGTTCTTCCTGTTAAGGATGCACTCACATTCACAGTTTTGCAGGCCCGTGCCCCACCCACCTGCGGAGGTCGTCCAGCATTGCCTCGAAGGGCCGGTCGCTGATGAGCTCGATGTTCTCCCATCCCACAACCTCCCGGTCGGCGAAGGCGCGCAGCTGGGCGTAACGCGGTGTCACGTTCACCACGGCGTCCGCGTCCAAGCTCAGCGTCTTGCAGATCACAGCGCCCCAGCCCTCCTGGAAGGCCTTGGCCATCACCGCGTAGTTCGTGCCCGGCGGGCCGCTGGCGATCACGAAGGGGTTGGGCAGCCGGAGGCCGTTCACGGTCACGCTAAGGTCGGGCCCGTCCACGGGGACGCCTGCCTGCGAGTAAGTGTGTGTGTGTGTGTGTGAGAAACAAGAGGATTGCGATGGGGTCCCACGTTGCTAACAGGAATCTGCTGTTGGGCTTCTCTCGCGTACGCATTTCTCGAAAGGATTCTAAGGGAACGCCTGTTCCCGCCGCCACAGTTCATCATCAGAGGAAGGGCAAGAGAACAGGGAATTGCGATGGGGTCCCACATTCTGGACAGGACTCTGCTGTTGGGCGTTTTCTCGCGCTGCGGCTGATGCCGCAGATAGTTATTTTTGGTGTGCGTCAGCGCCTGGTGCAAGCGGGCTGGCCGCGGAGAATCCAACGCAGGAGGAATGGAACAGACGTCCGAGTCGCGCACCCGCCACCGCCTTGAGGGTGCCCGAAACTTCCTCTGTTTCGCCAAGACATGCCCAATCAAAGGGGAGCCGAGGACACACAGGTCTGCGAACGCAGCGGGACACCAGTGGTTTCCCGCTTTGTGGGTTTTGGGGTCACAGTCTCCCCGTTTTGGTGTGGCTTAAAACCACCACAAACTCGGCCAGCCTTGCCTGCAGCTCCACCTCGGGCTCCCCTTTGAGCACCCCGCCCATCCTCGCCGCCACCCGCAGGGGCACCCGCCCGCCGCGCGGGGCCGCGTACGCCGACCTGCCCGGCGCGGCCGCTTGATGGATCGATGCGCACCGGCGGATCGCAAACGTCGCGGGAGACCGCATCCCCGCGGCGCCTTTCCGCATTCCCGCTCCGATCTGCGAAACCATCGCCCCGAAAATTCCCGCAGGAGATTGTGGGGCTGGAGGGGAAGAGATCGGCGCCCTTTGCGGGAAGCGAGTCTGCTTTTCGGAGGCGCTGTGCTGCGGCAAGGGGTGTCCAGGGGCGTGGTGGAGTCCCCGGGGTGTGGGGTGTCCTGACGGGGGCTGACGAGCCTTAAGGGCGCCACGAGGGCGTGAGTGTGACCGATGCTTGCGGGAGTGGTAGGAAATTTGGGGCTGGGAAGCGCGTGGTTGGGCCAGGGAGAACGGACACATCTGAGGCTAGTCATGCGGAATTGGAACTGATAGAAGCATCAACACTGCTTTGCAACTAGTTTCAGTTCCACGTTGTTGGCTGGAATGGTACTCGTTGTTGGCTTGGACTGTCTCCTTGCCCTTGGCGAGGTGGTTTGATAGGGCAGTGGGACGTCCAGTCAGAGGCACCCGGTTCGATGCCCGGTCCTGACTTCCACTTTACCGTCCGCACTAAAGCGCACACCCAGCAGACGGAGACAACACGTCACAGAACGTACGCCTGGTCCTGACCTGTCTTTCCACAAGAGTTTCCTCATGTTCTGAGGGAACCTAAGGGAAGAAACTATTTTGATTCTGGTACGCTTAGTGTCAAAATGCCATTAGGCTCAGAGGACCCCCCCCTCCCTTAGCGTAAATCATTAATGTGACGCCTCCTGCATTACTTAACAACTGTATATTGCAGCACACGCCAAAACACCATCGTCGCCACTGTACAACTTCCCCACAGCGCCACAAAGATTGGCACAACGAGGCATACAGTGCCATGAGAGCGCCACCCTCTGGCGGCCTTTGCGGTAGTCTGAGTTGCGTGTGGGTCCTTTGCATGCACATTCTGTTTCATGGTGACGGAGATATTGGATTCCAGTCAAGCCTTGCACACACCGGTCGTAGTGTCGTGCACCGTGGCCTTTGCCCCGCCGGCAACCAGCTTTGCAAGCCCACGTTGGACGAGCAACAGACAGGCACTCTGCAAAACCTTGTTGGTGATTTGCGGGCTGTTGTAAGCGGTTGTGTGTGCTTTCGGCTTGAGAACGCCCCTCGCTTGGGTGTGCTGTGCATGATTGGCTGTGCGTCAAAGCAGGGAGGGGTCCCGACATGTGCATGTTCCTGGCACGCAAGAGGCGAACGCTACGTTTGTGTGGGAAAATCCTGGACGCGGGCTGGTGGGTCATGCTGGCTGTCCCCGTGCGATCCCCAGAGTGATTTGTGGCAGCAACGAGACTGCAGCAAGCGCTGTGGTTGCTGCCGTTGTGGGCGCTGCGAACGCGTCCAAGCCAACTTGCCCCATTGCACACACTTTGGTAAGCATTTTCTAATGACTTGAAGGCGTTCTGGACCTCATCTTGCCTTATGATGGCCTCTTGTTCTGCTCCCCAAAATAGCTCAGCTTCCCCAGTGAGGTATATGATTGAGAACTTGACAAGAAACTGACAGGAGTGTCCACAAGTTGAGCATTCACAGGTGGTGTTGGTTTGGGTTGGACGTGGTCTTTTGTAGTGTTTCTTTTGCACAGACTCCAATCCTGCAGGGCAGCTGCATACGTGGATGCCAAGTGCACAAGGACATGAATTCTGTGCAATACAGAGGATAGATTTGCTTCTTAGCGCCCAATTCGTGCCCTGCCATTTTGTTGGCATAATTTGTGGATCTCCTTGACAGTTCAAGGGCCATGCTTTTCCCATTTTTTGAAACATGTCATCAAGCCGATCGTCTGTCACAAGGAATTTGCTCAAGAGTGGGTGCCAATGACACCATGGCTTCTGGTTTTGTTGCAATGAGACTTTTCTAGTTTTTGCAATGTTATTGAGGTGTCGACTGGCATTCTGCATTAGGGCACAGATCCTGCTGCAGAGATGCAGGATCAGCCTCCCGTGGCAGACTGGGGAAATTTGCCATACACAATGCTGTGCACTGTGAAGGCCATGCTTGAAAAGAGTGGAGAGCAGTGGTCCATGGTGAAGCCTGCCCGCCTTGTGAACCGGCTTTCGGGCAGGTGGGCAGTGGGGGCTGTGATACATGCAGGCCTCATTGGCAACCTACACCAAATCCAGTAGGCTGGGAAGTTCCCGTGGTTGAGACGGCTCAAGCTGTATGGCATTACTGCTGGTGAGATGCCTGTGTTGGTCAGGCTGCATCTGCTTGAGCACATCGATATGGTGGGTGGTGTGGTGAATGGCGAGGGGTACATGGACATCAAAGGGTGGGCAAATCTTACCAGTGTGAGTTCGTGAGTTGTGGCATCTATGCTGATGCGCTGGCGCACATAGGGGTCATGGCGTCGCTCACGAGTTTGGTGTTCGCTGGCTGCGACATGAGAGATGAGGCCCTTGCCACGGCAATGAGCCTCGCGTCACTGAGGAAACTGGACTTGTGCAGATGCCACATAACAGATAGGATAGTTGCGATGGTGGAGCCTCTTCAAACCCTAACGGAGCTGAACTTGGGGCGGTGTGCCCGTGTCACAAATGCAGGGTTATATCATGTGGTCAAATTGGCAGCTCTCACTAACTGAACCTTGACGGGTGTGTAGGAATATCAGATGAGGGTCTAGAGCAGGTGGGCACTCTAATGGGGCTCGCAAAAATGAACCTGGCGGGATGCAGTCGAGCCACCGATAAGGGTTTGAGGCATGTCGGTAATCTGGTGAACCTTAGGAGCCTGCACCTTGGCAGCTGTGGGCTGGTTACGGATGTGGGCCTGAGTCATTTGGGAAAGCTGTCAGGAATGACAAATCTAATTTTGAGTTCGTGCTGTCAAATTGCCGACGGCGGCTTGTCCTATGTCGGGAAGCTGGTGAATCTCACTGCCGTGGATTTGAGCAGGTGCACTCTTATCGCAGATAAGGGCTTGGAACACGTATCACCGCTTTCAGCATTAAGGAGCCTGGATTTGATGAGCTGCTGTCGCATCACCGTTGGGGATCGGGACGTGTGGAGAAGACATTAATGTGCCAATTATTTGAATTCTTGCTTATAAACTGCTGGAGCATCGAACCGGCTTCTTCAAGTTCATCTGGTGCTAAGCACAGAGAGCTTCTGATGAGCAGAAAGCTGAATTTGTCATGCCGCTGTGAGTCCTAATCAAGCAGTGAGGATAAATGGGTCAGGATGCCAGCGCTGGAAATCATAAGCTCCCGGGCCCGCATGTTAGTGCTCTCTGGACTGCTACATGGCAAATGCAATACATAATCATAAAATTTTGCGCCGAACTTGTGGCAATGCATGAATTCATGAGCGGGGTTAGGATGCACCCGAAGTTGGGTGTCCTTCAGCATCTTGCTTACAACACTTGCCCGCACTCTGGGTCATGTAGGGCTCCGGGATATTGGTTACAGCCCAGGAGCCTTTCGATAGCTCAACGCGTTGTACGCGAACTGGGACACAGCCGTAGAACTGTCGTCCCTCCACAAGGGGTTGTGCTCTACTCCACCAGCCCAAACTGAAGCAATCTTCTGGGTATCGTTTTGAACTGCAAATGGCTCTAGAGCTGGGGAAGTGTTGTTGTCTTGCAATGAAACAGCAGTGAATGTAAGCCGTCGGTGTGGAAAGGCTGGTTGGGCGGGCCTGGTGAACGAACGGCAAATAGCACCATGTACAACCTGAAAATCCCAAGATGCACGCATTTTGCCACGATGGTCTATGACAACAAGTAATTCACAGCGGAAGACTGCTGTCTTCTAGGTGTCGCAGACCTATCCTTCGAGTATGGCCTGCAGTGGACTGGTCTACGGCAACAGACGTAAGCTGAAGCGGCTGCAAAGGAAAATCGATTATGAAACGGCTTCTTTGCTCCAAAAAGCCTGAATGTACCGAAGTACATAGTTTGCAAAAGGTGGACAGCAAGTTCGACATTCATGCCGGGTGGGCCGCTAGACGAAAGAAAGCAGAGCTCAAGGGCGCCTGAAACTGAAACAATTGGGCAACCAACTGCTGGCGCAGCCGTGAGCATCCCACTCGCAGGCATGGCTGGCAAGTCTGGCAGGAGTCAGCAACAGACTGGGCGAGTTTATGAACAGCCTCACGTCCTTCGGGCCAGTGCCAATTGGCTGCCAGCGCAGACGCGTCCCGCAGTAAGTGCGAGACTGCGACGCGGACATTTCCATCTGTTTGTGTCCCATCCTTCCACCAACTACGGCACACATCTATGCTCTCAACAACAGGAACCGTTTCTACCCATTCTCAGCGTCTCAGCTGCATCTAATTCAATCCAACATGAACCCAACAAACTGGATTTGTCGGCGTACGTTTGATTGAATTAGGTGCAGCTGATATCTATGTTTCGTCGGGTGGTCTACGGTCCAAAGCCGTGGCAGAACGTCTCGCCCGTCTCAGGATTCCAGCACTACGGCGATTTGTCCCTGTCCCTGCAGGCCACTGCCGGCTGACGCCGCAGCCCCTGCCCTCCCCACATCCACCCGTTCCATCCCCTCCAACAGGAGCGTAGGATCCATCCTCAGCCCCAGGCGCCTCAAAACTGGGCGCCTCCGCACAACGCACTGACCCGCACGCCAAGCGGCAACCCACCTCTGCGGTCTTCGGGCGAGGCGTGAGCCAGCCATGCGTCGACAAGTAATGGGCTTGGCGCTGCGGGCGCTCGTGCCGGAGGCCACCGCATCGAAGGCATTGACGGCATCGGGCAACTTGGCGTCCGGCGTGGGTGCCCTCCAGCAGCCCTCCAGGGGATTTGCGGAGGCGGCTCCGGCCGGCGAACTGAAAAAGACGCCCCTGCACGACTTTCACGTCAGGAACGGAGGTGGGCGTTTGATGCGATGGGCATTTGTGGGCCACGTGGATGTTTGTCGGTCCTTCGGGACCGAGGGGCTGGGGGCGGAGGGGGTGGGGTTGGGGGTGGCGGGTGTGGAGCGCCGAGCGCGGGGCTTGGAGCTTGATCGGGATGTTTTGGAGCATCTGGAATTTTGTGAAGCGGGGTGCGACGCCAATTGCGGACCTTTGACGTTTCGCGGGGAAAGTGGCCGGCGTTGCGGCGGTGGCCTGAATCGCCCCACCACGCGTTGTGGGTTGTGATCGACGCTTGGTCGGATTGCTGAGGCGCTTGTGAGTCCCCGCTTGTTGGATTTTGATCCAGAACTGCAAACGGTGTGGAGTTGGTTTGCTGTGTCCGTATTCGTGCGTTTTGCATTTGGCAAAAACAGGGTCGCATTGCTGACTCATCAATGTACCAAAAGGGTCTATTCTTTCTGCATAAACATCTGGAACCTCACGTGTTGTCTGCGGTCCGTGATTCTGCGGCGCAATTCTGCATGCCAGTTTTTGAGCCGAGTTTCGAAATCTGTTAAAGCAAAACGAGACGTGTGTGTTTGTGTTTGACACCAATCTGGAAGATTGCGTGAGCTTGTTGTAAAGCCTTCTTCATGTCTTCGATGTTTGCCAGGGAAGATGGTTGACTTTGCGGGCTGGTCAATGCCGGTCCAATACGAGGCCAGCGTGATGGATTCCAGCAAGCACTGCCGCAGTGCAGCACTGCTGTTCGACGTGTCCCACATGTGTGGATTGTCACTCAAGGTGCTTCTGAATGCAAAGCAGGGCAGTGTGCTTCTGTGCGCCTTTGAATATACTAAAAAATCGTCCATTGGTCATACACAAGTGAAAAATAAAAATTGAGAATTGGACTCTTTGGACTCTTTTGGATCGTTGGTTACTTGTGAGATATAACAAGCACTGTGAGACACTTTACCCAGCGCTGGTCGTTTATGTGCACCTGTAGCCATTGCATTGGATAATAGGTTTGCCTGGCCACCCTTGCATGGCTCACACTAATCCTGGCTTTGATGACATTTATGTCGCATGAAAAAACAGAAACTCTTCCACCGGATTGTTGAGATCGGGCAGTGTGCAGGGCATGTTGTACAGTGCAATCCATTCCAGCACTGCATGTTGGTCCTCTATGCATTTAGGGCGAAATTGCCAACTTTCTGTTCTCCAGTCGATGCAGTGTAGCTGCAAAGGTGAAAACCATCATGAACTTGCAGCCCGTTTCTTTGCTGTGCATTCAAGGGAATGAATGAACATCCTTACAGGGGACGTGAAAAATTCGGCACATTGGTCGTGTCACGCATCTCTGCTGAACTCAAAATAGTCAAACAGCATCCCCTTGCTGGCGGTCTACACTGACCTCGCAGTGACTCGCGAAATTGCATTCATGGGAGGGATGCAGATCAAGTGGGGAACAGATACCTGTCGACATGTGCTGAGTCCCACAGATGTGAAGCTCATCCCTGCACACAGCCAGCATATTCACTTTTCTTGATTCTTCTTCCTGAGCATGGGTTTTTCATGGCTTATCTGTCTGGGACTACCTTTTTTCAATGGGCAAAGTTGCTGTGCCATTTCTGGAACATTTCATGTTTGGTCATTTGTGACACATTGGCTTAAGTTTGTATGTGTGACAGGGCAAGGACGCAATACCATTTCTGCAAAAGCTTGTGGTCGGTGACATCGCTGGGTTGGGGAATGGCAGGAGCACCCTGAGTGTTCTCACAAACGAGAACGGGGGAATCATCGATGACTCGGTTATCACCAAGGTGAGAGGTCCCAAAAGATATCAAAGGCAGGCCACTGCCAGCACCCTGTGATGCATGGCTGACTGATCGACTGATTTCCACTTTTGGTAGTAGATTCTTTGTTTTGTTACCATCCTGTTCTTCCAGTTTCAGTGCTGTTTGTGAACGCATTACAATTATAAAATGTCTCATTTGTCACCCATGTCCGTTTTCATGAGTAAAGATGAACATCCCAAAATGGCCACTACTTGTTGGTCAGGAGTTCTGCATCTTGAACCAGTTTTCGTTTATTGCTGCCTTGTTCTCATCACAATCCATTTCAACCGAATGAAAATTGAGCTCAGTTGCTGACAGTTGTGTGGAAATGAATCGTTCAGGCATAGTGTATTGTGTATTGTAGCACTGAAGTTAAACATGGGGAATGTGTATTGTGCCTATATGACACATAGCTAGAATTTGCTTTGTTAAGGCAAGGCAGGTGCTACACACTTAGAGATGATAACATGCATCTGTGCATCCTAGTGTTCAGTTATTCCCCGTTTGCTGGCAATTCTCCATTTTGTTACAAAGTGCTCTGTTCATCTCACCCTGGCATTGACCACAATCTTGAATATGTTGGAAGGCTTGCTGTGGTGTTCGACTTGCGATCTCATCTTGTGCTGCCAACAAATCAGGTGGCCGATGACGACCTTTACATCGTTGTCAATGCTGGACGGAGAACTGAGGACTTGGCACACTTCAATAAACACCTGTCTGAAAATTCGCAGGTGAGATGTCGTGGGTTCTGGCCAGATGGCATGACTCATCCTGAATTCCCTGCGTGATCACTGCTTGGTTCTCACTAAATGCTTGCGCTTTTGCATGGTATTAGCCCGATCCCTAATCCCTGAAATCCTGCACCTTGAGAAGAAAATGACGTTGTGGCCTTGTGGCCTTGTCCTGTGGCTCGTTGGCAGCTCGTTGAATTTCTACTTTTTCGAGAAAGTAGTGTCGAAACTCGCCATTGCAGCCCTGACTTGCAGATCCATACATAATAGGGAATGAGCAACATGGGTTGCATGTTGCTCTGCCCGTCATCACCTGCAGGGTGCAAGTGCATTCTTTTGTTATGTGCTGCTAAAACTAATTTGAATAACTTACAGCGCACAAACTTCCAGTGTCAAAATCAGCCCAGGTTTGGTGGAAGTAGGGATTGACCACAAATCAAGTGCCAGGTGCCATTGGACAGTATGGATTGCAGGTGTCACATTTGGAGAATGTGTTTGTGGGAGGCTTGCAAGACTGACATTTTTGAGAAGGCAATCCACACCCCCCGTCCTTTCACCCAACTTGCCATTGCCCTTGTGGCCTTGGCTGTTTTGATTGGTCAGTTGACCAGCATGCTACCAACTGGTCGCCCATGGCCTGTCCCTTGGCAGCTCCTCGTTGGCTGCCTAGAGTGGAAGAATCCCCCTTTGTTTGGACAGCATCTTGCGACAGGCAATAGATGGATTCAGGCTGCCTGGGATGTGCTGCTTCGATGCAGGTTTTGTGCTGTGTGGGTTTGAGGTTTCATTGTTGCCTAGCAGTGTCCCTGTGGCCCACAGCAGGAACCGATGCTGCCTGATGGTCTGAAGACAAGAAAAATGCATATCATTCAGTGTGCTAATTTTTGTTCCGCTTTGATGGGTGCATCAATTGATTCCTTGATGCAGATGAATGTGGACATGACTGTTCATGATGATCGCGGCCTTCTTGCACTCCAAGGCCCTTTGGCTGCGAAGGAATTGTCTGCCCTGGTGGATACCGACCTTAGCAAATTCTATTTTGGCAGTTTTACAAAGATGAACATTGCCGGTGTGCCATGCTGGGTAACAAGAACGGGGTAAGTGTAAGGCTATTCTGATTGGTCCACAAGATTTGCTGATATCAACTTGGACACGGGATTGTGTCGTAGAGAATACACATTGTCTATGGTTGATTGACGCAACACATAGACAGCGGAATGCGCTAGTGACTGTAGGCCATGAATTCGTTCAGGTCGTGCAAACATGACCTTTTGCTATGTTGTGGACTGGATGATTGTGTCCATTACAGCAATGTGGAAAACGACAGTCTGGTCCCAGCCTGGGAAGTCACTGAGTTCGGATCATCAGATAGCATCTGATTCTCTGTCAGGCTCCAGGGACCTCACAACGCATTGCAAAATCATCATCGCTGCACGGAAGTCATGAGCACACACAGTGTAGAAACATTCACAGATGATCACATTTGTTGGCTGTCACAAGCCATACCAATGTGAGGGTTGGGACCCACAGGGCTGATGAATGTGTGAGTGAATGTGTAGGTGAAGATCAATGTTGAAGTGTAGTATGCAGCCGCAAACTGCTCAAGTAAAATCTGGTCATCAGAGGAGTGCAAAATTCCCCAAAGAAAGAGTCTGAAATTGCCCAAAGAATGTGTATCTGGCCAGTTGTTGGTGCATCGCCCAAGCCACATTATTGCATCCTACATTGAGTGTTCATTTGCCATCTGCAAGTGAGAGCAAAGTCTGCTTGTCTGCACAGGTACACAGGAGAGGATGGCTTTGAGCTGTCAATCCCTGCTGGGGAGCTGGAAAATTTGGCAAGCAAATTCACAAGCTCAAAAGATGTTTTGCTTGGTGGCCTTGGGGCTCGCGATGCCCTTCGGTTGGAGGCTGGCCTGTGTCTTTATGGTATGTACGATAGTGTGCATTGCACACAGTTGTTCAACCATGATTGATTGTTGCACTTGCGCAGTTATCAGGCGATGCTGGGCAATGTGCAAATTCACAAGTGGCTGTGCTCAAGGTCAGTCTGGCGCCTTTTAACATTGAAGAGCCGTAGGTGCACTGGTTATCCACTCCTTGAAAGGACTTTTGAGTGCAGTGTGGTTGCAGCAATCTTACACAGCGCGTCAAGATGCTATGATTTGGGGAACTTGACGCAATAGGGTGCAAAATTTGTATTTTGAAGTGGCTATTCCTTGCTGACGTGTCCTCAACCACTGTGCAGCAGTCATTTGCTGGTGTCCAGAATGTGTGGGACAACCTGCTGGCATCTTGTACAGATACCTAAGTAAACGATCCTTGTAAGTATCCTTGTATCCTTGTTGCTTATGTTTGATGCGATAGCTCCAGCATGCCATCGCTACCTGACACCAGATGTGGGCAGCAACTGCTTCCAGCTGCCCTCTGGCTGGCATGGGTCCTGGTGCCACCTCAGTGCCTTAAAGGTGACAAGACATGGTACCAAGGCTAAGGCGCAGAGCGCTTGGCCAAATATGCTGCAGCGGGGGGTGATGAAGCACTGGAGCAGAATCCCGTGTGCCAAAAGACCACAGCACATCCCCATTGCAGACACTGCAGGAACCACAGATGCTGGTCCATACATGTGGTAGACAGCATGTCACAGAATCTTTGTTCTTCTTTGCTAGCTTCTCACATGAAAGCACAGAAGAACACAGTGGAATCGTGGTATGAGTTGGTACGAGCTGCTTTGCACCCTGAACGGACTTTTTGCATGCTTGACAACTGCATGTTTGATACCAAATTGTTCAGAACAGGCTGTCAGCCAGCTGCATTGGGCCGCTGAGTTGATTTCCAGTTGGGCATGGCTGCAGGCAATGATATCACAGAAGAGACTTCTCCCATTGAAGCCGGGCTTACTTGGACCATTGCCAAGAGCCGTCGAGACAAATGCGACTTCCTGGGCGGGGAGGTGTGTGCTGCAACGACCGTCCTTGTGCATTTGATAAATTCTGGATCCCAATTTGTGCGCTATTTGCCATATGTGTGGGCCAATGCTTTGATTGTTGGCCTAGAGACCCTTGCAGGAATAAGAGAAACTCCAGGACATCACATTGAACAAAACATGTGGCATCAACCCAAACAGGTGTATAGATTGTGGCATATGGACTGGCCAACCATGTCTGAATCACTGCGTGAAGTCTCTCTTTATCTTCTTTGTTCTCTTATTGATGTTTTGTAGGAAAAGGTGGGGCCGCTGAAATTGGTAGAGAGTAGGCATGAGCACCACAAAGGAAAGAAACTCTGTGAAGCTCTGTCAACCAGGCACCTCACCTGCAGAATTCCCTACCCCGTTTTCTGATCGGTGCATGAGATTGGCATTGCAGTGTACAATTTTAGAGTTATCCCTCTCCTTGGAAAAGTGTGCTTTGGCCCTTCATACCAGGGAGTCCTGTTGTTGGGAAGCTGGGACAGCACTGAACCCTTGTTTGCCTGGATTGCCATCTGTGACACACCTTGACTTTGGCGCTGGGGTTGTTACTTGCAGCACCCCATGGAACAATAGCCAGTGAGTCATTGACTCAGTGCGCAAAACCAATAGGTTAGCATTTGTGCACTTGCATGTGTCCCTGCTCCTCCCCCCCTCACCCAAAAAAAAGCAACAGGAAAAAGGCAGCCGAAGAACTAATCCCCTCAGACAAGGGATTCAGCACGCTGCACGATTTGCTTGTAGCGATTCCAGCTGTAATGGCAACAATGACACATTCGATAAGCCATTAACAAGCTTTGACACAGCGCTCTCGTGTTGGTGTACATCAGTACATTTCCCTGCTGGTGCACAGGCTGTTATTTGGTTTGTTCTGATACATACATTCAATCCAGACTACGCTCCGAAGTGCTGTGGTAGCTCTGAGGATATATGATGTCTTCAGTCATGAATCCCTTAGTCCACCAGTGCCCTTAGCTGCAGTTTTGCTGCAACAGGTCATAAAGAGGCAGCTGGCCGAGGGCGTTGGCCGCAAACGCGTTGGGTTGTTTGTCACTGGCCCGCCAGCGCGGCAGCATGCAGAGATCACGGATGATGAAGGCCACAAGGTACATGGGGTCAAAGAGGGGACTTGCACATTGAAGTTTTGCAGACTAGTTGGCACTGCAAAAAATTAGGTGAACTGTTTTGTTGGCTTCCACAGAAATGATCTATGGCACATAATCAGCCCATGCTGACAGTGTTAGCTGAAGGGCTGTATGTGAAGACACGATCCCTGCGCACCATTCGCCTGTGTCAACCCACTGAGCAGCCTGTTGGAAGCTCTGGATACAGGCAGCAGGCTCTTTGGCAATACTGACGCATTGTTGTGTAAGTGAAGTGGCAAGGAATACAAGCGACCCATCATTATTTCTCTTGTCTGCTGTAGGTCGGAGAAGTGACCAGCGGAGCTTTCAGCCCGAGCCTGGGCAAACCAATCGGCATGGGGTAAGCCTGGGAGTGCCTTGTGTTCTCAACTTGACTGTGTTGTATGTCACGTGGCTTGCGAACACAACGTGTTGCCCCTGGCTGTGGAAGGCAGAGACAGTACGCCAGCTGACAGTGTCTGCCCTTCTTCATTAAATGGACAACCACCTGCAGCATCACATGAGCTATTGGAGCCGTCGCTTGAAAGCAATCGCGATGCCGCATACTGCGGTTGTGCTTGTTGCCTCTTGATGTCCTTAGGTATCGAATACGGTGGAGAGCATGTTCGCAGCACAAACATAGAGGCGGATGAGGAGCCAATTCGAGCATACCACAAGGTTGCATGTGTCCAAAGTATTGTAGTCATTCAAGGAGATTCGCCAACCCTGGTGCTGATAAGGAGCCTGTGATTGAGTACAGAAGACATTGGTTAGTGGGTTGTTGTTTGGTGGCTTTTGATTGTTGTTTGGATGACCGACTCTGTGATTGAGTGACTGACAGCAGGCAGTGATGTTCCCGCAGGTATGTGAACACCCCGCTGGCAAAGAAGGGCACGAAACTGATAGTGAAGGTCCGAGGCAAGTCCAACCCTGCAGAAGTGACCAAAATGCCATTTGTGCCAGCGAAATACTACAAGGGGTGACGCGCCCGGCGCCCACACCAAAGGGGCAGGAACAGCCCCATTTTGACGAAGGGGATGGCCTGCTTCATGGGGGTTGCTTGGGGGAGACGATCAACATCCGAAAATTCTTTGGCCGTCTTGCTGCACCTGAGGGTGCAGAAGGACTGGCTGATGCGCTTCCTGTGGCGGTACTAAACGAGGCTCGCTGCCGCAAGGGGCCGCGGTGTGCTTCTTCGGTTCTTGCCAGTCCCCTGGCTCGGGGGGGGACTGCTGCTTCCGTCTCACGGGGGTGTTGTCGATCAGTCGGCTGCTTGTGTAAGAAACGAAAATGCCTCTCCTGCGACTCTTGGTGCGCCGTCAGCTCTGCAGGTGCATTGGCAGTGTTGTGCTGCCCTTGCATCATGGCGTGCCTCTGGAAGCATCACCCGGACTGTAACAGGACTGACAGTCTTGTTGTTGGAAGTCCTCCTCAGAGGCAACAGCTTCTTCCGATGTGGCACGCTCTGTCTGGAACACAACTGGGTGGTAATTGGCGTGAGGCACTTTCGGCCTTGAAGGGGCTCTTCCCAAGCCAGTGCCGTTGAATGTTTGTCCGACGCCCGTCATTTGCGGCTATGAAGGCCATGCGGGGGGCGGGAAGGTCATGTAGGGTACGTGGGCCCTAAAGACCTTAAACTTGAAGACACCAGGCTTGGAAATGACCTTCATGTCCGTGAATGAAGGGAATCAGACATTTGTGTGACCATGTCCAGTGCGCCAACCTACGCAACCTGGCACTTGCCTGTGACATCCACGGCAACCTGGCACCTGCTGTGACACCATGACATTCACTCTATGTAGCATAGAGCATTCGTTGCAGCATTCGCTGTGGGTAACACGAGCCTGCTGTGTGCCACACCGTTTGTGCTTTCTGTGCGCGCCTGTTTGAGCATCGCTTCACAACCTTACCAACATTTATTCAGCTGCATGTACTCCGTGCAGCAGAACGGCCAGTTGCTGACATGCCAACCGACCGGTCACTATTTTTTCTGCGACAGTAAAATTGCTCCTTTTTGCGACATGTTCGTTTTTGCGACAGTGGCGATAATTGATGCGCGAATGTTGGCAGCGGATTTGCCACACCAACCCAGTCATCGTCGAAGTCAAACTCTAATTTCATGCCCGCGGACCCTGCCCTGCCGGTGCATTGTCCCCACAACCATCCCGCTCTGGCTTCCCAGCCTGCGCCTCCGACAGCGCCGTGCAGCGCCGCCTCCAGTATGAAGGCCGCCGCCTTCCTGCTCTTGTTGGGCGCGACCCTCGTCGCCGCGATCCCAGGTACCTTTTGCTTGTCGTGGTGCAACGTGCCGCTTGCCGTGCCTGTGGTGCGCTCGGAGACTTTTCGCAAGCAGTCTTAGAGGGGGGATGGCGCCTCGCGGCTTCTCTCTGAAGCGGGGGGTGAACCTTGTGTTACCTGTATCGTATGTGTATCGCTTGATGAATCGTTTTTGTGCGAAACAATCTTCGCTGGTTGCCAGTGGAGTGCCGCTGGAAGCCGCGCAGCGGCGCCCCGCGCCCCCTTGGCTGAGAAAAGATTGCGACGTCCCGCTGGCCGGGTTGATGATGGCTGATGTGGTCTGGCTTTGGGATTGAAATTCAGGGGCGCCGCTGCAGAGCGTCGTGGACGTCGAGTCGCTGCACGTCTCCGACTTCGCCGTGACGAAGGTGAGGTTGACGAGCGGGGAGCGCCTCTTTTACAGCGAACGCCGCGTGCCGCTGCTTTCAGTGATCTCCTGCGATGTTTTCTATTCTGGTCCACGGTCGGGACAAGATACATTAGGCGGCCATGGTGCGAAGGCGGGGTTCTTTCACCTTGGCAACAGGCGTTCCCAGCATGCGTGGAAGCGCTCAACACGCCTGTGGCGCCATCTCGTTCAGCGTGGGTTGTGGTCAGAAAGCGAAAGGCAGCGGCTTTTGCCGCTGGCATCACGGGCATCACCGCGCCAAGTTTGGCGAATGGGCGGCGTGTTGAACCGCTCCCAAGCATATCGCAATCAGTTTGGGGCAGGATTGGGCTTACAAACATTCGGTCTGGGCGGATTCTTATGAATTTTCTGCAAAGACCTTTGTTACCCATTGGCGGAGACATGAAACAGAGCAAACAGGAGCAGTGCTTTCTTGTGTGGTGGTGGCACAAGAGGCGCATCTCTGCAGATGGGATGAGGGCAAAACCTTGAATGTGTTTGGAAAAAGAGCATCCCTGCCCTGCGATCAGCAAAGGCACAAGAGCAGTTCACCACACAGTGTCCAGCTCGCTGTGCATGCGATGGTGGGTGCAAGGCGCTCAGCCACTCAGGCCGCAAGTTTGGCTTGCACAGATCAATGAGGCCACCCCCGTGGAGGACGGCGAACCTGCCCCACAGCTGGAGCTTGTCCAGGTGCTGAACGCCACCAAGCAGGTGGTGGCTGGATGGAAGTTCAGCCTGGTGCTGTTGGTCCAAGCTGGCGAAGCAAAGGCCATTATGTCAGCAGTCGTTTACGGTGAGCTGTGGATGAATAAGCAGGCACTTCCTCAATAGGAAGAGCCAGCCTGATACAAGTTCCCGCTTTCCTAACATGTTGGCGCAGGCACTGATGGCCACGGAAAAATTCAGTCACACTGTCAGTTGATGGCCTTCATGCTCATGACGATCTTCTCCATCTGATGGTACAAATGCCTGAGGCCAACTAACAAGAGCTGATCACTGATGAACTGGATTTTCTTGAGTTCCTGATGACGAAAATAGGCCTCTGAAATGCTTTAATTGTTTCACTTTTTGAATAGCAATATGTTGGATGTTTTGGATACGTTGATGCACAAACTGATGTTTTGCCTTACGCATCTGCAGTGCCTGCTGTTGGGGACGCCCAGCTCATGGATCATGATGTGGTCACTGGTGATGATATTGTTCCTGAAGATATCAAAGATATCAGGGAGTACCAGCAGGTATATGCAGGCACAGCCATTCTGTTTTGGACAGGTTTTCGATTCGTATTGTGTGCATTGCCTGTCATGACATGTCATAAATGGACACATCGGTGTCCCTGCACCTTCTATGGCAACAATGGCTATGTGCCCATATGGACACAGAACATGCTGTGTGCAATCTCCATGGACTCTATCCCAAGTCCAAGTCAAGATCAATTGGTGGGCAGCAATTCTTACAGAAAATCAGTCTCTATGGCCTTGGTGCCCTGAAGGAATCCAGGTCATACCTGAGTGGTACTTGAGTAACAACTGGCTTTAGGTGTGTAACATTCTGCCAGCTATTCTATAAATGGATCATTGACAAATGAGACAAGTCTGTGCTGGTTAGACATCTCGTTGCGTGAGCTGGGCGCTTGCATGCTTGTGTCTTGAAGTCCAGCGCTGTATTGGATGCTTGTTGCCAGTAGATAGCAGAGACACATTGTATACCATGGGAAAGTAGGCGCTAGATATGGCACACTCATTCACAGCAGATACACCCTACTTCCATGTTCAAAGTCTGTTTGGTTTAGGGGCAGTACAGAATAACTCAAACTCTCAACTCAAGAGTAGTTCTTGAATGCGCTATGTGTGCTGGGTATGCTGTGGTAATGGACAACATATTCTGGATTCTGGGGTGTTGCTGACGCAACTTCATCATCGCTCCCCCCCAGTTCAGTGTCGTTGATGAGGAAGTCAAGGCCGCTGCGGATGCAGCGGTCGAGAAGACCAACGCACGCTCCAACTCCCTGGTGCGCACAGAGCTGGATGGCGTTTTGGACGCCTGGTGCAAGGTCGCCAGTGGGCAAGGCACCACCTGCAGGCTTGACCTCAGCCTGATGAGGGGCCAGGAGGAGAGCTATGTTGAGGTAACCAGCACAATTTGTATGCGCAATGCGATTCACAATTTGTATGCAAAGGCATATTCGTGCTTTGTTTATAATCGAATAAGATTCAATGAAGCACAACCTTGAAGTACACCAGTACTTGAACTGTTTTCAGTTTATGGGTGTCTCTTGTGTGATTCCGTTGCCGGTGTAGGTCAAGTACTGCACCAATTGTGTGTATGGCTGTTGCCCCTTGAAAATCACATAGAAATGTGTGTAAAGCATTGCATTGTGGAGTGTTGTGTTTTCAGTGAATCTGTTGCATGGTCTTCTGCAGTGGTGCTGTTTTGGGTCCCCGGATCGGCAGGCTGGTTTTGTGCCTCTGGTCCACAACTGCGACTCCCACAGCCCCACTCCCACTCCCCCAGATGTTCTTTTTGCATGAGGTTGTCGAATCGCTGCATGCCACCTTCATATATACTACGATCTTCCTGTGTTTCATGTTTAGGCTTGTCATGTTGCGACGCACTGGAGACACAGTGAGGTTCCTATATAGCGCCCCCCCAATAGCTCCCCGTTTTTTGGCTTGGCGCCAGTTCTGTGGTACATTATGCAGCTCTGATGTGCAATGGGACCTCAGACCAGTATGTTGGACATTAAAACACACCCAAAAGAGGCGCTCAGTAGACCTGCAACATTCTTTGGTTGTGCACAGAGGTGGGGAACTGATCCATGCATAGTATGAGGTGTTTACGTCCAAGATCAGATCAGTGGTGTTGCCACAAAATCATTCCCATCATGCAGTGTGCAGCGACATTCAAGTATGCAGCACCATGTCAGAAATAGGAACGTGACAGTGACACGGGTAAAACTACGGACGTTGCCCTAGGTGCCCAACAAATGGTCACCTGATCAGATGTCATTTCATAAATTCAACACGAACAATACCACACAGCCAAGATGTCGTTACATAAGGCCGCCTTATGGGATGTGGCAGTGGGCGGCAAAACGCATTCAGCATTCATGATGCAGGCAATGCAGCACAAATCAGTGAGCAAGCCGGCTTCAAGGATTGTTATCAAAACAGTGTTGGAGGTTGTCGTAGGACTGCTAGGTTCATTTCCTTGTACCTTTGCTAATAGTTTGCAATTTCACAAGGAATTGAATGTACCACACCAATGAGAGTCTCCAACACAGTGGTCCAGTATTGTCACATTATTGCAGAGGGTGCACTAGTGCGATGGGTCAACCTGGCATTTGAGCAGCCTGTATCTTGGCCAACAGTTTTTCTACTGCATACAAAGTGATGGGGGCCCTCATTTGACAGAGTAGATTGCTTGCATGTTAGTTAAATGCAATAAATTGAGTTAGTGCTTTAGCACCCAGCCTCCAAAAGCGCCCTGTTTTTGGCCATGCCATGGGTGGGTGCTATATAGATACCCACACTGTGCCACCCTGCTTAAGACACAGCTGGAAGGGAGTTCTTCGCCAGCCAGAAATCGTTCAAGTTCAATGTTCTCGGGACAGCCTGGTTCCACTGGTGCTGTTGGGTGTTGTTTCTGTCTGCATGTTCAAGGCGATGTCAAATTTCCACAGCTGCCACACAAAGTGCATGGTATCACAAAGGAAATGCAGAAGTAGCTGAGCTGCAGATGAGGGTGGTCAATCCTTGTGTGTGCATTGCTGCAGGTGGTTATGAACAGGAACCTAACAACTGGATGGAGGGTAATGTCCATGGGCGAGGTGCCAGTTCCAGTCACGTGATTTGGTCTCTTCTCAGCTACCTGAAGTAGACGTGCTCTGCTGGGAGGCGATGTCTCAAGCTCTTGGCAGGTGGTTGCTCTGTGTCATCTGAGGTTCAGAAGGGAGAAGGGGATGATTGCAGGAACAGAGTCAGCATAGGCAGCAGAGCCTATTGGCAGGTGACTGAATCGTGCCTTGTGTCCTGTGAACTGGCTCGGCTTTTCTGGGAGTGGAATACGAGTGCTGAAAAGGGATGCTGAGACGTTAATCCTTTGCTTATGTTTGTCGGGTGTGGCTAAGCACTTCTTATACTGTTGTCCTTGGACCTTCTGAGCCGATGATGGCACACAGGAGATGTATCGCCACAGGAAACACAACTAAATGTTGTAACAATAGTGGTGGTCTGCACTGCCCTGTATCATTTTGGTTTTGGGATTGGCCATGTGTTGTGTCCTGTACAGATGTAAAGATGTGTATTGTTAGGACGATGTTTCAGCAGCTTGCAGAGGCTCACAACTTGCCCATTTCTTTCCACCCGATGTCAAAATAACCCTCGTGGGGACAGTGCGGCTGGCATCAACAGTGGCCCACGCTCAAGCAACACTTTGTGTCCAGTATGTTGCCCTCAACAGATGAGCATGCCCCTCCAATTCTCGTTCCTTGCATCATTTCAACAACAAGAACTTCGTGAAGCACAAGAAACTCAATTTCTTTTGTCCATCGGTCACTCAAGACCGCGTTTTGTTTCAGTTGGGGACATTAAATCCTGGCTGTTTTCTATGCATTTTGCACTTTCATGTGCATGGCGCATCTGCTTGCAGAGCGGACTTTCCTCTTAGTTTGTCCTTGTCGTCTGGATCCCATCTTGGAAGTGTCAAACCTATGCCTTAATAGAGTCAGAAGGCATCTGGATCCCAACGTCATGCATTGATGAGTTGTTTCCCAGATTGTTCCTGAACTCATCGAGGCACTGCAAAGCCGGGCGGAATGATGCCACCAAAGAAGGGTGGAGAACGAAAAGTCGGCCATTTTCTGTTCTGTTGGCACGGTCAGCCGATCCCATGCAGTGTGTAAAGCATGCCAATGTCACTCAACAGGCAATTGTGCGACAGCTGCCACAAGTGAGTCACCCAGCCGGATGGCGTGCATTTGTGCGCTACGTTTATGGAAGCGCATTCAACAGAAGTACGCTGAACAAGTGTCTTCTTTTCCGGTAAATTGCACACTCGTCAATTGTTTGGTTTGGGGTTTTTGGGTGCTCTAAGTGCCAGAGAAGCTGCAACTCCAGCAGAGAAGTCCGCAGCTCTGGATGGATGCAACACGCGCAGTTTGCATGCTGCATTGAAATACGCCTCCCCGTGGATGGCGCACCCCGAGTTCTCTCATCCGTTTATGTCAAAAATCAAGCCTCCCAAGACTTCGTGCCCGTGTGGGACTTCCCTCTTGCTCGCCAAGCTTTCCCCTCTTTGCTTCAAGAAACAACCCTCACCCGCCCGAACCCCACAGCGGCAACGCAAACTCTGTCCTGGCGTCGTTTGGAGTCACAGGCGCCTGAGATCCGACGTACGACAAGCAAGTGCCGTACTTTCAAACAGACAGGCCACTACACTTGCGGCCGCGTCCTCCGCGCGCTGGCCTTGGCCCACTTTCCCTCTTCACTACGGCTCGCCATGTACTAAGAAAAGGTCGCTGGGCCCCTGGCGACCCCAGAAAAACCACCCGTCTCCCTGTCACCCCCTCTCACTGACCCGAACCTCCTCCCCCCACCCTATTCGCACAACCCAGCTTCCCCACCCTCACCTTAGCCTTCCCCCGCGCTGCCTTCGCCTTTGGCGACAGGCGCCACCCGCGCTCCGCCCCACAGCCAGTGGCAAGGGAGCGGTCCAGATCGCATCGCATCCGAGTCTTGCTGACGCGTCCTGTTCGCTTGGAGCGGGGCGCGGATCGGCGAGAGGGGCGCGCGCGAGGCATTGGTGCAGCCGGTGGTGCTGGCATGCCCCAGAGGTCCAGCGGCAGGTGCGGCGCGGCCAGATGGGCCCGGCCAACTCTGACGCTTTCCGGAGGCGTTTCTGGCATACTTTGTGAGGTGTCGGGCCGAAAGCGGCCAGCTTCAAGGGCATTGGATCGGCGATTGTTGGCCCTCTCGCGACCTGTCCAGTCGGCAGCTTCGCTCCCTGGCGCCTGTCCTTTCTGGCGCCGCCGGTGGCACGCCCCCGTGGCCAAGAGGCACGTTGGTGGATGCGCACATGGCCGTCACCAACTGCAGTGCGCAAGGGCACCGCTTTGTATTCCGAAGTCAGTCATAAGCAAACGATTCCAGTCTGCAAGGCGCAAGGCCGGCTCTCTGGCTTCCGAAGGCAAATTTAAGCAAGGGTCTCGGCCTCCGCTGCCTTTTGGGCTCATCCCTGCTGTAACCTTACCCGCTTCGCCGCGTGCTCGTCGCGACGGGCCTGCATTGCCCGTGAAATGGCTTTGGGATTGAAACATGCCCGTCGTGGACGGCAAGGCGCAGTCAATGACGGTACCTCCTTGTCTCCCGAAGCCAAATTGATACAAAGGGATTCACCCTCCGGTGCCCCTTGCCCGCGTGTCCGCTGAAACCTTTGCCGGCTCCCCGCAGGCTCGTTGCGCTGTCTAGATCGCATCGCGGCGCCCCGCGCGGCTACCGCGGAGAGCAGGCTAGGCGCGGCGGCGGCAAGAGGGCGATCGGCGTCGCTCGGGCGGGGTGCAACCGGGCAGGATTCAATCGCGGCCGCTCGGCCGGCCGGAGGGCGGGCGGGAGGGCTGGGAGGGCGGTGATGGCCGGCAAGGACTACGTGTTTTCGGCCACGGACGATCCCATTTTGAAGCAGCCACCCAAGACGGCGCTGGACCCCGAGGAGATCAAGGGGGTGTTCGGCTACCCGCGAGACGTGAGGGAGAGGTGGGCAGGAAACAATTGTCAATCGAGGGCGGTTGTGAACAAAGTGAGGGGGGAGGTGGTATCCCTTTGATACGAAAGTTTCGGCTTTACAAGTTTTCCCAATCCGAAGTATGTCCATAGTGTTTGTCCCATTCTTCTCAGTCACTGAAGGCAACCAGTGCATGGTAGCTCCAGACCCGCACATCTCATAAGAAATTAAATCCAGCAGGCAGTGCCAAGCGATCCAAAACGTGGAGGTGGGGCTGTGGGTTGAAAATCTTTCTCTTTGGAAGGCGTTGTTTGACAAAGCGAGGGGGAGATGCTTTGGGAATCTTTTCCTAGAGGGGCCAGCTTGAACGAAGGGAGGAAAGGGTGGTTTGAAATCTTGGTCTTTGGAAGGCGCTGTTGGACAAAGTGAGGGGGAGGTGGTTTGGGATTTTTTGTGTTTTTAGGGGCCAGTTTGAACGAAGAGAGGAAAGGGGTGGTTTGAAAATCTTGGTCTTTGGAAGGCGATGTTAGAAAAAGAGAGGGACGAATGTGTTGGGGTCTGCGAGGGCGCTGGGCGTCCGCGGCACATAGGCCTTCCAGGGGCGTTGAGTTGGCGCTGTGGATTTTTGCCCAAAACTGTGTGCTCTTTTTTGGTGGTGGTGTGAGTGCTGCAGCTTGCAGCAGTTGAGAAGTCGTCGCAACAATGCAAGGCACTTGTAAGTGGGAGGCGATGACAGGGACAGCAGTATCCAATCAATGTGTCGCCGTGATCCATCGAATCTTTCAGGGTGTGGGTTTGGGGTTTGAGGGAACAGTGAGCGCCAAGGATCGTAGGCCTCTCAGCAGAAAGATGACGTTGTTGGGAACGAAAAGGCAACAGCACTAGTTGTATTGCTCTTGTGGCGTGGGAGGTTCTGATTGGAGTAGTTGCTGGTGTGGCGGGATGGGGCTCCTGCACCTTGTGGGCGATGTTTTCCCCGGCATTAGCACATCAATGCTGCCTGTCTGTGGTCGGATGGGGGATTATGCCCAACACCCCATGGGGCTGGGTGGCAAACTGGCAGGGAGGGGGAACATTGTGTGAACTGAGATATGGATGCTCTCAAAGGGCGACAGCCTTTGTGTAGCCCTGTGGGCAGCACAGGTCAGGATGATAAATGGTGAAAAGGATGCGCAAGCATAGTGGCAATTTGGGATAGGATTGTTGGAATGTAGTTCTGGCACTGATGGTGAGCACAGGGGGTTTGCAAGGAAAAGGGGAATTCACGTCAAACGCATCAGCAGGCATGGGCTTGAGATGTGTAGAGCTCCCAAAATTGGCATGTTGGTAAATGCGTTTCAGCAGGCTCTTCTCTATCCAGGACATTGAATGGCACCATTGCACAGTGAATGGACGAACGAATGCATCCTTGCAGACAGCATGAAAGCAGGCTCTGAGCCAAGATGACTGGACAGTGCCACAAATTCTAGCGGTCTAACCAAGCGTTAGACAGCAATGACAATAGGGATACTCACATCTTGAGAGCAAGCACAGCGCATAGTTCCCTAAGGAACATTCCATTGGAGAAGATGGTCGGAATAGTGGCAGGCTTAGGCAGGGCACCTGCTAGAAAGGTGCTAGAAAGGTGGAGATGGAGTATGAATTCCTGAGCAGAGTTTGTTGACAATGGTTATTAGGGATGGTACCCGGGTACAGGAAACCCGGGTACCCGGGGCGGGTATTGATTTTTCCAGTACCCGCCTACCCGGGTACCCGCCAACCCTTGTACCCGGGTAGGCGGGTACGGGTACGTACCCGGGTACAGGCGGGTACCGGCGGGTACCCGGATTACCCGGGTACTGCCAGTACCCGGGTCCGGGTACGGACCCGGGTACAGCACTTTTGGCCAGCGGTCGCCCGGTGCATAGCTTCGCACCACGCTGGCTTCCGAAGATCGCCCCCGTCCACACTGTGTGGCTGCGTCGCGATCGTGCACGGCGCCGATGCTCTCCACACACTCTTCTTTGGGCCGCGCGTTTGGTGATCTAGGGGCGCCGGCGAGCCAGAATCGGGGGATCTGACGGGTTGGAACATCGACATGGCGCTGCTTCGTCGATCCTGTGGCGCCGGCGATCCGGATTCGGGGTATCTGACGGGTTGGAACATCTCTACACACCTGCGGCAACTAGCTGTCTGCAGAAAATGCGGCTGGGCTCCGACGGGTTGGTCCCTAGGATACCGGCTGTGTTGCATCCCTGGCGCCCGAGCTACCCTAGTTGGGGATTGCAGGTCGTCCGTTTCAATGCGAAACGGTTGGTGCGCGCAGGACATGCCCAGCAACTTGGACTAGATGGATCGGTGATTGCTTTTGGGCGTTGTTGTCGTTGATGTCTTACAGCTGCATAGTTTCATTGTCGTTATTGTGGTGGTTGTTCTTGCTGGATCGCCAACGCGATCGTTGACCAAAAGGCGTCCAGCCCTTTCCGGATTGTGCCAGAAAAACGCACGGCTCGTGGAAGACAACGTCAGGGGAGGGGGCGCCGTCGTCGTCGCGGAGTTCATTAGACAACAGCCGGCCAAGCGCGGCGGAGCGCGGCCAGCCAGCGCTGCGTCGGCGCAGGGAGCGCCTTTCCGTACCCGGGTACATACCCGGACCCGGGTACTGGTTGTACCCGGGTACCCAGTTTTTCGCGGGTACCCGGGTATTGGGTGTACCCGGGTTACCCGGGTACACCCGGGTACCCAAGTTCTCGAAACACCGGGTACCCGGGTCCGGTTTTGCCAGCCCGGGTACCATCCCTAATGGTTATCCATTGTGCAAGTGGCAGTGCAGGGCATCCAGTGGCATACCCTGCCATATCGGCAGTTGGTATACCCAAGGCCCCAAAACAAGCTTTGAAAAGGAAGGGTGTATTGTCCCCTTTTATTGATGGAACCATGGATGAATACGTACCAACAGCAGCAATAAATGTGATTTGTGCAGGCATTGTCCCGCTTGAAGGGCAGCCCCAACATCTTCTATTCCTGCAGGTTTCATTTCGGAGAGGTGATTGGGACGGGTAGCTATGGAGTGGTGCGCCGGTGCATTGAGAAGGAGTCCCACAAAGAGTATGCAGTCAAGACACTGCCCAAGACCCCCAAGAAAGGTCCACCCACACCACGATATCTCCTGAAGTTGCGAAACGAGGTGGATGTAATGCGGCAAGTTGGCAACAGCCTCAATGCTGTGCATTTGCTGGTGAGTGCACTGCCTGCAGCTGCGAATTCGTTCCTGGAGGGGACCACGGCCACTGAGTGTTGCGTCACATGTTGAATTCCGGAGAGCAGCTCAGACGATAGAGCTCCTTTTCACAGCAAGAATGTGTTTGGACGTTCTGTTTGGCAACTTTGTGTCATTGATCAGCATAGTGCCTCTAGTCTGATACAGGGGATCTAAAACGTGTCCACATTGTTACATTTCTTTCCTGGTGAAGAGCCAGCATTGCTCACATGACACCAAAGGAATAGATTGATGAGTTTTGGCTGGTGTTTGAGTGTAATCTGTGACTGCAATTGTCCAGAAAGGACGAGCCGCAGCCCTTGCACCTGAAGGCATTGTAAGTCGAATTCCACACACTGATTGTTAGTGAAGTCCACTCCTGAATCAAGTGTCTGCCAAGGTGTCAATAAACTTGCATCTCTTCTGTTAGGAGGGGGTGAGACTTAATTCTCCAAATGCAATGGAGCTTGGAATTGACATAACACAGACAACTGAAAGCACTCTCTGAAGAGGACACCCTGGCTGCCAAGAGAGTACGACGAGTCTGACAGAAACACAACGAACTGCAGAATGTGTGCTTCATCAACCTGCGTTGCCATGGTTCGTGCTTCCAGGGAGCCTATGAGGACGACCACGAGATCCATCTGGTCATGGAGCTCTGCACAGGGGGACCCCTGCTCGACAGGCTGCTGACTCACAAGCGCTCTGAACAGGACATAGCGCAGATTGCTCGATCCATCCTACAGTTCATAGCACAGTGCCATGCCAAGGTACAGGGATGCAAACAATGGAGACCTCAGGCTGTGATGCAACGACTGTTTGTTGAGTGTGTCGAGATGTAGGTTATGACCTGTTGTTATAAGTGCATGAGATAGGAGTAGGATATGGAGTTGTTGGTATGACTGTCGCCCCATGATAAGTCCAAGACATGCACAATATGTTGTGAAGATCTGTATGGCACATTGGCTGTCGTTGTACCCAGCACATGGGTCCTATCGAGTCAGCCCTAATAACATTCTCAATGAAAGCTAAGCAACGTGAAAGGCAAGGCTCATTTTGCAGTTCTGTGCTCATGAATGCATCAAGCAAAGCAGTGTGCTCCAAAGGTATTGCTGGCTCAACTCGCTGTGTGGTCCGGCCATGTGCTAGCTACACTCACAGCCACTGCCGCAACTTGACAGTGTGGCAGTTGCAGCTGTATTGCATGCAATTGTGGACAGAGGCAAAAGCATATTTCCCTGTAGTATTCAGCTCTATGTAAAATGATAAGTACCAACAGCAGCACACACACACACAGACACACACACGCACACACATACACGTAACCGGAATCTGCTGTATGTGGCTGCAGGCATGCTAGCCACATCTGGCGATATGACATGGTGGAGGGCTGAGTTCCCATGGGTACTCGCTTACAGTTTGTTCATAAACTGCGAACACCCCCAGCCGTGCAGCCTGCCCGGCATCGCCTGAAAGGTGCAAGATCACTGTATTGCCCTCCAAGTGTATCTAGCCATATTGGATTTTCAGAAGGTCTTTGAGCAAATAGCATCGAAAATCTGAGACACTGTACACAACGCCCTGGCGACTTAAAGGCCTGTGCATTGCCACTGTGCATGGGAATTGACAGCATCGATGCTCCATTTTGACATCAACTTCCAATGCATCTGAAATGGTGGATAACACTGGGCAATGCGAATCCTTTCGACCCAAGTGGGGTTAGACTTTTAGCCCTTTGGTGTTCTACGCACATTGCCCGGAAGGGTGTTGCTGGGAGGTACAATCCAGAAGCTGTCTGTCTTGCATCTTTCCCCTCAGTACTGTCCCATCGATACGCTCTTTATTTGTGTCATTCAACGAATGGCATGCAGCTGTCCTTGTGCCTGTGGGATGCTCCTGAGAGGCCAACAGCCTCAACATTGGAACCTGCATTGGTAAGGTTTCCTCTCTTCAGGGACTGTTTTGCCAACGACATCCACGCCAGCATCAAAAATGTTAGCAAAATGGAAATTGACCTTGTTATAGAAACGAGGTAACAGTATACAATAATAAAGTAAAGTTGTACAAGTAACAAGTGGTGATGAATATGGTAGAGATAGATAAATCAGTGGTTGTATATGGTAAGCTTGCACTGACACCGTCAGAATTCGCTCTGAGCTGAGAGGAAGCATCATTCATCCCTGAGACACACACCCTTGTTTGCTCGCATTATGTGCTGCATGACTTCCGCAGCTGCAATTCTCAATGCAAGGGGCACCCGATCTATTGAACATAACCGAGATAACGATGATCGTCAGCTGTTTGCTTCCCATCTTGTCCTTCAGCACGTGGACGCAGTCGAGCACAGCCCAGGGTCTGGGAGCAGGGCGCACCCACTGGGCAACTCAACAATTGCGTTCCTATATGACTATCGGTGAGTTTCATCCAGGCTGACATTATCTGTGGTGCTAAAAGGGGATCGTGTACCGTGACGTCAAGACGGACAACTTTCTATTTCAGAGCAAGGCGGATGGGAGCCCTCTGAAGGCGACTGACTTTGGACTGTCCATTCGGCACTGGCCCAATGAGCCGCCCATGAAGTCAAGAACAGGTCAGCTGATTTTGTTCTTAGAAATCTGTGTTAAGGGCTGCTTTGAAACAGCAGCAGAAACTTGGATGTGAATGTGACAGGAGCTGAGACAAAAGTGCATAATGCATGGCCCATGTAATGGCCAGGTGCAAAACCGCAACTGACTGTGTGAAGAGTCTGAGGCATCTTGTGACATGTCTGGGTAGCGTCTTCTCTGAGAAGACACTACCGTCCATGAGCCATTGATGGCTGCTTTCTATTGGATGCCTCATGACCTTTGTATCTGGTGGGCATGTTGGACTTCTCCTGTCAGTTCAAGGGATCGCATTGTCAAAAAGAACAATGAACAAAGCTCCTGCACCTTAGAAGCCTTGACCGTCACAGAAACAAACAGTCATTGTTTGACTGATGTCCCATATATTCCTGTATGTAGTTCTATATAGTCCCATACATAGCTCCATACAATCTCATGCATAGTTCCATATGGTCCCATATATAGTTCCATGTAGTCCCATATATAGTTCTGTGTACTGCCTTCTCTGTTGTTTTTGAACTGTTCTCACTGATTCCCCATTTGTTCTCCCAGCTGGAGATCTTGCACAGCCAAGATCGACTTTGGCAACAATTGAAAACTGAATATTTACTGTGAAGCTTTCATTTTGTCATTTTTATTGTCATTGTTATCAACAGGCAATGCAAAACAGAACATGTGCTACCTTCTCTTGTATTCCAAACTGGAGTGTTGAACCCTGATGACGGAATAAGGAAGTGATAGAAGGCAATTGTCCGTTGTCACAAATGAGGATGAACATGGCACATAGTGATCTGAACTGAATGGGGACACTTGCAATGACTGGTTGGCCTTCGTTTGTTGTGCTGCATTGTTGTGCATACAGTCAGTCATGGATTGTGATCTTTGTGCAGGCACCCCTGCGTACATGGCACCTGAGCTGATCATGCAGAACTACACCGAGCTGGCAGATGTGTGGTCTGTGGGCATGCTGACCTACCAGCTGCTCACGGGGCGTTTCCCCTATTGGGACGACATCAGCAAGTGCAGCCTGAAGCAGCTGTGGGCCGCCATCGTTACAAAGGATGTGGACCTCGATCGGCCTGACTTGGTTGGCAGTCTGTCAGAAGGTGCACGAAGCTTTCTGAAGATGCTGTTGGTCAGGAATCCCGATGACAGGCCCTCAGCACACGAGGTGGGGGGCACTCGAAGCAGACCTAGCAAATCATGCTGAACAAGCACCAGAAAATGAACTTGTATGAGCAGCAAGGCTAAAGAGTCAGAATAATCTTGGCTGCAAATTTTGACCCTCTCAGGAAATGTAGCTGTGCATGTATCTTCTTGCTTGCTGTGTTTCTCATTGTTGACAGTGAGTGCAAATACCTCTTGTTAGTATTAAGAAAGAAATAGGTTAAGAACAAAAATTAGCCTGTGCACATGTGATTCTTCTTCTGATGAAATAAACTTCTTAAACCCCCTGAAGATGTCTGTGTCACACTATGGTTGATTGTGTGTGGATTAGTGCTCTTACGATGCTGCGGTTGGGGAGCCTTTCACACCAGCCATCGCTAGGCCCTTGCACACTATTGTAGCAGTGATATGTTCTGATGATTTGAACTCTGTAGAGCCACGTGCCGTGACCAACGTTTCATTCCCTGTGATGTTGTAGTTGATAAGTTCAATTGTTCATTCCCTCTGTGTGGCTCGACATGGAAGTCTCAGCTGTAGCAGGAAATGCACACAACAATGGTTGTTCCTGGGCCATTTTGTTCTCTTGCATAGACCTCTCTTTATCCTCTGCATCCTCTTTCAGCATTGTCCACGCCTGCAGTTTGACCAACATTGTTATGTGGGCTGCACGGCAGTGTGTTCTGTCGCTTTCTGCGTATCTAGTCAGTTCGGATTTCTCCATTTCGAACTCTGAAATTTTGGAGTTTCCGTGATTTTCATGACCCTTTGTGCCACCAGGCCCTAATGCACCCTTGGGTCATGGAGGGAGGCACCGCCACGGCCCTCCCACTTCAGGGCAGTGTGGTGCAGAGGTTGCAGCGCTTTGCCACTTATGGCGACCTGAAGCAGTTGGTGCTCAAAAGGATATCAGAGCTGCACCTGGAAGAAGGTGGGACTCAGCCAACAATCAATGATGGCTGATGAGTTGGTTAATGAACTGTTCTTTTGGCTGATAACTGTGTTTTTTCCATCTGTTTATGTGCTCAATCCGATCTTACACAGTGTGTCATCGACATTTTCATTGTGCTTGAGCACTGACCAGATTTGTACACAAGAGGCTGTGCCCAACCCTACCCCAGTTCCCACAGAACCCACCATATGTCTTGGTCTGATTCAATTCACCTGTTCGGGTATTTGTTTCTTGCTGTCAGTTGGGCAATCATGAGATTTACACACTCTCATTATGCAACTTGGCTTGTGCACAGCAAAAGGTCGATGTGTTTTCAATCGGGTGCAAGTGTACATTGTCATGGAGCCGACCCATTGTCCAACATATTTCCACCGTGCCTCTGGTCTACATGGCTTGACAAAAATTGATTGGCCAGGATAAGAGGGTCCATGTCTTGTGAGCAAAATTGAAATGCCAAACATTGCTCCTGGCGGTTCTGGAGAATCAACTGCAGACATTTCACTGCAGGTTTCTTCAACCTGACCAGCACCACCTGTGGCTACAGGTTGGGAAGTTGTCTGCAAATCATTCGCAAAATTTGGTTTGCATTTTGTGCATTTCACATAGAGAAAGTCTCACAATTTGTATAGTGTCTGGTGTGTCGAAGGTAAGGCAACTGCTGAAACATGGCAAGGCACTGCTCTCTTTGCCTATCAGGTGTTGATGGACACATTTTTGTCCGTTCATGATTTCCTTTGGCGTATGCTTGCTTTGAAAAGTGTGTTTGCACTCTTTCTGCTGCTGGTGCTCGTCTCAATCAGTCGATCAACCATCACTCAAGATGGAAAAGGGGCATAAAGAAGCCCAGCTCAGTATCAAACCCAAAAATGTAGCTTACAAGGAACATTACACGTGTGTCATTCCAGGATCAAACGGGAAGCATTGCAATCGTGATAGTCGTCCAAGTTGGATTTTGGCAGATTGTAGCTGAATGATGTCCAAATCGAGCTTCCATGCAATGCACTGGCCCTCCTCTAAGAAGAGTATCTCAAGTCAGCAAACACAGTCCGTGCGATGTGTGCTCTCTTCCCATTCATTAGTGTGTGCTGTGTGCTTCTCTTGCTCGAACTCAATAGGGTCACATGCCATTCCCAACGTGTCGTTTTTCATGATGTTGTAATGGGTACATTGCTTCTTTCTTCTTTTGCAGGCGCTGTCGGTGGCGAGCTGCGTGACCTGTTTGACCAACTGGATGTTGACAGCAGTGGGTGGCTGTCGTTGGACGAGCTGTCCCATGGTCTCCGGGCTCAGGGCTACAGCCTGTCCGATGAGGAGGCCCGGCAGCTCATGTCAGAGGTGGACGTGGACGGGAACGGAAAACTGGACTTTGACGAGTTCATGGCGACTCTGGTGGACTGGAATGAGGTGCAGTGTTTTGGTTGTTTTTCTATTCGATTTCAAAATATTATATCACATTTCAGCATCCGGGTGCCTCCCTTGTCCTGTCACAAGATATGTAGGCCTTATGTCATGGAGCAAGTGCATGCAAGGCGATGTAAAGCCCCCCAAGTTGTTCGAATCAAAGAATGCCCAGTCTCAAGAAAGAGAAAAGAGAAGTTCGACACCGGAGAGGGGGTCCAGGGAAGAGGTGCCATGCTGCACAAGACAATGCATCAAGGTGGTGGCTGGTTGCCGAGACTGTGGTGTTTTCATAGTTTCGGATTACGGTATGCACTAAACCAAGAGACTGCGACTGGAGAAGGAGAGGGCAATTGGATTCCATAGGGCTACCCACCTGATTGCATATGTCAAAGAAGGACAAAGCACTGCGAAGGGTTCATGGCGAGCTTGTAGTCTAGAGCAGCAGGCAATTGATGTTGTGTTCCCTTTTCTGAAGTTCATGAGCTCACTACAGCGGACATGCCCTGGACCCCACGCAGATATTGCCATGTGTTTGCAGTCTTAGCACAGGGAGCATACAGTGCCAGCATGAAGTCGACTTGAGCAAGGTGCATAGTCCCTTTCAAAATCATAAAGAAAGGTACAATAAACTTCCTGTTTAAATATGAACGTTGCAGTTTCAGCCTTGCGAGATTCGCAGCCTGCGAGATGCAACTCCTGCTCAAACTTGAGGGGTTGGTGAGCAAGCCCACAAGCAGGAGCGGAAGAGAAATGGCAACTAGATACTGTGCATAAATCTGTGGAATCAGCAGTTTCAATAAAACAGCGAGATTGCGTTTTGCGATGAAATGGAAGTCCATTTCTTCAGATAGTTTGCAGAAAGGGCAATTATGCAAATTTGTGAAATGGCAACGAGACAATAGGAATGAAACGACACATCGTAAAGTAGTGCCCGTTGCCCATTTTTGCTTTTTGTCTGCACAGAGAACCGCTGGCACAACAGAATCTAAAAAACTCCCGAAACTGTTCTAGAAGGTTCCTCTCCCGAATTCCTATGTCTCTTGCGCAGCATCTCGCCTGTTCTCCGCAGGTACAAATATATCGAGCGGACTTGGATCGAATTTTTGGGGAGATGGACACAGATGGCGATGGCTTCATTTCTCTGGCTGAGATCGCCGAATATCTGCCATCATACCTGCCTCTCTCCAGTGAGAGTGGCGACAGCGGAGGTGGGCAGGTCGACGAGAATTGATGCTGAACATCTCTTCGTTTTGCTCATATTTATTCTTTATACGTGTGCTCCGTACCTGCATTTGTTGTTTTCCTTTTCCGTTTGCTATTGTTGGTTCCTTCCAGAAGCAAAAAAGCGGGCATCCTCACGGCTATTTTATAGCCACACTGGCTATGGCATGCGACTGCACTGCGGTCACTTGATCAGCCATCAGGCAGAAGATCAGACTGATTGCAGACATAATCTCATGGCAAGCAGTATGGCGGGACATGGGCGTCGTGCTGTGCTTCCCTGCTTCATGGGTCATTCGTCTTGAATATTATCTGTTGCTATAGTTACATATGATAACCATGACATTTGTCTCCAATCCAATTGCTGAATTGTGATCAACATCTAGCAGGAAGTGAGCATGTGATGCACTGGATACGGTCCTCCGCAGCAGGAAATTTCTTTCAGTTTCTTTCTGAAGATTGTGGCTTGAAGGTCGCGTGTGACAGACCTGGGAGTCAGTGTGAACCACCTTGGGCAGTGTAGCCCGTTCGCAACCCGCCTCGCCGCCAAGCCTGGAACCCTGGGCTCAGGGAGGCTCAGAACACTTTGCTTGTCTGCTCAACATTGATGCTAATTAGTGCATTGACACCTGCCCAACATGCTGCTGCGCTTTCCCAACCAGATGACAGGATGACGATAGCAAAGCGCATGCTGCGGGAGGCGGACAAGAACGAGGATGGTTTCATATCGAGGGATGAGTTCAACCACCTCATGGTAAAGTCAATGGGGCCCGACTCCCTTGACCAGTACGACAGCCGCATCATGAAGCCTGATACGCCACGGCAGAGTGCAGCGCCACGACAGGGAGCCACTAAACGGGGGGGCTGAGTCAATGGCCTCTAGTCAGCCAGATTGGACATCCATGCTGGGAATGTTGCTGCAGGCATGGCACCTTGCCGATGAAGGCCATGGCTGTTTTTCCAGGTGCTTGATAGTTGCAGGGTGTCTCAAGGGCCTTTCAAGACGTTTCAGAGTAATTGTGCCGGTTTTCAAGCATAACTGCTTAGCCATATTTGTCAAGAACGAAGATCGGATCGCCGCGATCCATGGTGTTTGCCTTGGCGCATTGGGAGGAGTGCAATTGGCAGGGCACAGTGGAAAGGGCATCATTTCCAGACGAGAATCCAGTTTCGAGGCGGCTCGCTGTTGGCCTATGGATCCCCTGTCAGCTGTCATGGACATCTTGCCCATGCTTGCAATTTTTGGCCATTGTCTGTGGGCCACGGGAGTGCTGGCTGTTCCACGGGGACAGAGTTGGCCACAATTTTGAGAAGGCTTGGCAAGGATTTTGCAAACAGATTGGCCCCCCCCCCCCCTCCCCACCTGCAACATATTTGCAATTGCAGGGTTGAAGCTTCTAGTTGATCTTACAGGCACCACACTGGATGGGTTGCTGTGGACCAAATTGCTCGGAACTAATCTGGCACCGATGGACACACCATTGATTATGACCTAACAGCTACGTGGGAGTCGGCGGCTTCCCACTTGTCTCCACATGCAGTGCTTGAGGATTGATTGAGATGGGGAGCACTCAGTTGTGACAGGAAGTGGCACTGGGTTGAATGTGCAAGAAAATACAATGGTGCAGTTCAGCTGTGCTGCAGTGTATGTTTTACATGCTACACGATGTTCTGCACACTGAACTTCAGTACTGTGGTACAGTCCACTGAGGAGTGGTACTAGTGCCTCTGGAGTCTTTGGGCGTCCTTGTGGACTGGGGTCGGTTTAGAGATCCAGGTGTGGGGTGCTAGGATGGAACGCAGGGCGGGAGTCCTGCACTGTCACCTCAAGAAGCTGACCTTGCTGCTGTCTTATCTTCTTTTGCTGTTTTCTTTTGTACCTGCTGTGTTCTATTATCGTTTTTGTTTTCTGTTTGCTTTTTTGGAACTATTTGCCAGGCCAGTGGTGGGGCTGAGGGCGCTGGGGGAATTGGGGTCTGTGGGTTGGACAGTGCTCAATGGGCACGAATGTACAGTGTGGTGTAATATGCGAAACTTGTTCTGATAGTCGGGCGCAAGTTGTTGTGGCTTGTGTTGGCTATCAGATTGCACAACGCAAACGACAGAAGCCACACGAAAAGACACCAAAAGGTCTGAACCCTCGTTCTGCGTCGTTTCATACCATTCGCCACGCAGTCTGACACAGATCTCCTTCATGATCCTGTGCCCGTAGATCTCCCAAGTCGAGCGCACATGTCCATGCTGTGGTTGTCACTTGTCTGGAGGTGATAGAGCGAGTCCCGGCGCCTGAAAGCCCTTAGCGTCGAAGAACAGGCCATTCTCGCACAGGCACACATGCACTTTGTCTACTGTCGTTTCTACGCACAGTTGGTTCTTTCCATTTGTCGGCGACACTCGGGCAAAAACCTTCTCTGAGATGCACAGATATTGAACACATACAGGGGAAACAAATTATCCTTTGATTCCTTTCCCTGTTATTCTTTAATCCTGATGTTGTTTGTCAGGATGGGTGGGGGCACCTGCCCATTGCATGGCTGGACTTGAAAAAGGGGGGCAAAGAGAGAAGAAGTGTGAATTTGTTATGAACCTCATATCAGTGGTCAAATCAGCGTGGCCAGTAAACAGACATTGGTGTCAGTGGGCGAACAAGTCAATCGTCGACTTGCAAACATCAACAACTGCGCCTCTGGATGGCATTGTGAATATGATTGGCAACAAACTTACAAGTGTCTGTGGGCTGACGTTTCCAAGAGGATTTCTACCTGTGCTGGGAAACGAATGTTCTAGCTTGACAAGGTTGTCTAGGCTGACGCGCTTAAGTCTTGCCCATGGTGATGCAAATGAGTGCATGGCCAAAGAGTGATGCCGTGGAACCTTGGTCTTCGCTCATTTTGCTTTTCTGAGTCAGATTACTGACGATTGCATGTTATGCGTGGGCAAGTTGACGGCCCTGACACGCTTGGATCTACATGGATGCCACGGAATCACAGATGATGGTTTGGCATGCCTGACAAATTTGTCGATGCATACGCACCTTGATCTACAGCGCTGCAACACCGTAGACTACGGCCTGGCGAACCTGACAAGTGTGTCGATGCTTGTGCACTTGGCTATGCGCTGGGTCGAAGAAATCAGCACAGCAGGTGTGGAGCGCTTGGCACAGCTAACAAGCCTCACGTACTTGGATTTGCTGCTATGCAGCAGTATTTCAGGCAACTCACTGGTGCCTTTGACGAACCTTGGAGCTGTTCAACGCCTCGGCTTGGCTCACGAATTCCCAGCCGCAGATGCTGTTCTTTTCTTGCCTTGGGGGAGAATGACAACCCTACAGTACTTGAACATCGAAAGTGGCGCAGTTGTCTCCAGTGAAGGATTGCCGCATTTGGGCAACTTGGTTGCTCTTGGGCATTTGCGTTTGCCAGAATGTGACAAAATTTCAGATGCCTTGCTTCGGTGGGACAACTGAAGGCATTGGAGGTCTTGGAGATGGACTGCTGTGGAGCAATGCCAGGATGGGATTTTATGAACATCTGCAGATTGACTGATCTTAGGCTTGTGAATTTGAGAAATTGCGAGGGCGTTACAGAGCAGGGCCTGTCCCAGATTGGTTGCCTGACGACCCTTCAGCACTTGGATCTCTGGGGGTGTGCATGGGTCACTAATAATAGCCTGGGGTGACTAAAGATACTGCATGGCCTTGCCCATTTAGATTTAGGCGACGGCAATGCTGTCGCCGTCGAGGGTTTGGTGGCGCAAGTGGGAAATCCGCCGGCTCTGAAACACCTGTCTTTGGCAATATGTCCCATCGTTACAGACGCTTCGCCGGCACGATTGGGAGTTTTTTCAAATTTGGAGCATCTGAATCTCTCTTGATGTTATGAGACGGGCTTGGGTTTGGCGCATGGTGGAAAAATGGACAGGCCTGCGACATTTGGACTTGAGGGACTGCCACCAACTCACCGCCAAATATTTGGCGCACGTGGGGAATCTGGGCTCCCTCGTTTATTTGGATCTTAGAGAATGGGAGCAAATACATCCTCACATCAGGTTATATTCCTTGGTGATTCTCAGGCGGCTTTGGTTCCATCACTCAGTTCATTCTCCACTGACATGCAAGTGCATCCTTCCAAAAAGTGGAACAATGCAGGCAAGGTGCTGCAATTTTTGACCCACTTGTTGTGATCTGGGCATTTGCAAAGGACCTGTTTGGGGCGGGGGGCCTACGGTCTGAATCTGCTCACAGCTATTGTGCATCCATTCCGGCGCCACGTTCAAGTTTCTGTTGCGCTGCATTCTGGGCATTGAAACTCAGACATGTACCTCTTGTAAGCTGTTGAGCGACGGCCGCTGGGTTTGAAGACACTAGGGGCGGCGGGCTTGTCAAGGAACTCAACGTGAGTCCTTCTCCTCTTCGTTGGCATGCTACCCTGTTGTCACTTGGTTGTTTCAGAAAAGTTTGCGAAATACCGGATTGGGACGATTGGTGGTTGAGCCACAGGGGCCATGTGTCGCCAGCATAAAGGCAGACACGATCAGAATGGCCGCCAACCCATGGAGCAATATGCTCCCCGCCAACGCCCTCGTGTTTAATTGTCCAAGTCCAGCTTGAAACGATGAATCACCACACCAATTCAGGCGTTCGTGCAGCCAACTGGCACAGTGCTGTTGCCAACAGTCGAAGTATCGCCCAATGCTGCACTCCACACCTGGCTACCAATGATGCAAACATCGCTGCAGACCAATTTCCTGCTCCAGGGGCCTCCTCTCAACCCCCTGCCTGTCCCCACCCAGTGATTTCACCCACCCACCCACACACCACCCGTCTACTCCCCTCGCCACTCAACTCGCCCGCCCCCCACCCCCCTCCTGCCCGCGGAAAACCCAGCCCCACCAAAGGAATCTTAATGTCCATTTCAACACTGGAGTGCCAGTAGCGCTGCTACCCAGCAACCACCGCATCAACTAGCTACCTCTGTTGGGCGCTGTCCCATTCACAACATTGCAAGGCACACAGGCAATGTCCTGCCAATTCCTAACAGACGCAATCAAAAAGTTTCAGGGATGCACAAGAAGCAGCCTTCCGCTCGCCAGCTTATGCCCCATCTGATGCCTGTGGCAAGTAGCCCTGTGTCTGGCTACCCTGGATCCTTCCCTCTGTCACCCTCGTCGTAAATTCGGATAGCTTCAATCAGCCAAAGCCATTCTCATCACCTCTCCCACCACTTTCGCAGCCTCACCACCCCGGAACCATCAATCACTGCCATTCTCGTCCTCTCTGTTCCAATTCTTCCAACGTTTTGACTCTGGTGAGTTTGAACCTGGTCAATGCCCTGGCCTGCCACGGTGCCCACCCCAATTCTGCCTCTGTCTTTTCGATCTTCACCCTCTCTCTCTCTCTCTCTCTGTGCTCTCATTACCCGATTGGGCTCGAGCGAATGAAGTTCGATCCGTTTTCGTCTTTCTTTGTGACCTTCAAGCTGAAATGAACCAAGTGTTCGATGCCGGCATGGGCACATCGTACAGTGAGTCGATCGCCCTGATCATCTCATTCGCGACAGCGACCAGCTTCTCCGTATGGCCCCTTGCAGTGGTTTCTGAAGAAAGACAGCAAGTAATTGGATATCAGAAAAGTGGCATTTTATCTTCGACGACAATGGCAGTAAAACACAGCCACGGCCACACTCATCACACATTCTTGCACCTGCAGGTAAAACGGCTACCATTCCCCTTCCCAAGAACAGCTCCCAATGTGCACTCACTTTCCTGTCATTACCAGGCAGTCCAAATGGGCTGACTATTGTGATCGTTTGGCACCCATCGGCCAAAAACCCCAATGCTCTTCCATGTGCAGCGGCTGAAGCCTGCCGATGATGGCACCAATGTTGTGGTGAACATGAATAATCATGTATGGCAGCAAACCCGAGCACAAATACAACTATCCGTTCATGATAAAAGGCGCAGGACAATGCAAGACAATGAAGGACACTAAGATGCAAGGCAAATATATATTCTATTGACACACTTGTATTTCCCAGAATGAGCACATATGACCCAGGCTATCTCAGCCTGTCTGCATTAACACAGATGGCTGGCCACAAAAAGAGGGTCTCTTGACATACGGACAGTGGTTGGTCAGCTAATGCGCACCGCGATCCACCAGAAGGACTTCTGCAAGGAAGCAAAGCAAGCTGAGCAGCTACATGCCTGTTTCGCAGATGCTTGCCAAGAACGCCGCTCTGGAGGGCAGCATCAGGAGGCCAGCCTTTACAGCCCCCCGAACCACATATGTATGGATGGGTGCCAGCGCTGACTCATACGCTGTGGACGCCGCCTCTCTCAGGGACATGCTGCTGTCAGACGTCAGCTCCTGGACCAGAGTCGAGACGAAGAGGATGGCACTCCTCAGCCTGTGGAGATTGCGGGCGCAGCTGTTCTTCTTGGTGACCGTCTTTTTCTGTTGCATGGGTACAGCGGTGCAAAGGTCAACCACTGCCACTGCACAGGACTCAGCCGATGCACCGTGCTGGCTGCATTCTCAACAATACAATGCATTCTGCATTGTACTGTGTGGTTGCGCACCGTGTACTGCGATCCCACAGGCATGAGCAAATCCTGTGCCAAACTGCTTTCCATATTGTGCAAGTCTATTCAGAAATGTTCCCAGTGCAAACAGGTTCAAAGCCTTTGGAACCTGTTTGCAGTCTATGACAATCCACACTAGCAAGAATCACACATCACAGGAAATAGAACCATCCATGTTCAATACAAATGTGAAGCTAACAAACAATATCAAAAACATAATGTCCAGCACTAATGCATTTTTGGCTTTGCCAAATACATGCAAGCGCATCACTTTTGTCATGGTTCAACAAATACACTCAACCAGGATTCGAACACGGACAAACTGACACCTATTGCTGTCAGCTAAATGCATTTCTAGGACTGCGTTCAAGGCATCAAGCCCATTATGGTGTTGATCCTGCCAAACAACAGACCAACAAAATGAAGCGAAAGTGTTGTGCAACAGATGTGCATCCAGAATCTACTTGTGCAAACTCATGAGCACAAAGTGCTGCATCAAGTCATCCAAAAGATCATGCCAAAGGCACACTAGACTTCGAGGGACAAACAAGGTTAAGGAATTGCTGATACTAATCCAGCAACTGGGACTGGTTGACTGTACCAGAGACCACCACCAGACAGCCCAACTGGCACTCCATAAAGGGGTGAGCACAGAGATGAGGCTTACACTCGTGTTCCAATGTGCAGCTGAGTCAAACTTCCATTCCAACCAAACTTTCATCTGGCACATTCTTCAAGAACACAGACACACAAGGCACGAGCAAGCCAGTCACACAATGTCATTTACCCATCCGGGTGACGCGGGTGCAGGGGCCACTGTCCATCACTAAGAAGCTGATACCGTGGCAGATCTTCAAACGTGTGCGGGTTTGAGGCACATACTGTCTTCTAGCAACAGCCTGGGCATAAGTAGTGCTCCAATTCTGCATCGATTCAGCAATAAAGGTATGGCTGTCGAGGAATTTAAGGTAAACAAAGCCTTGCCCACCCTCTTGTCTTCGTTGACCAATTCTGCCAAGGTGGGATAACGGTTGATGACGCGGTCCAGGCTCTCATTCTGTTGCCCGAACAAAAGAACACAATCAGCACATGAAAAGGGACATCAGCAATAACTTGGAGCAGCACACATGACAAGAATGGCTAAAAAAGTACAGAGGACAGTACTGTTCCAAGGTTTGCAGGCTTCGCTGCATTCACATTGCAACAAGAACCTGGACAGACTGTGTGAAAGTGCAGAGTGATAAACTAGCATTGCTGCAGCTCCATAACACACTGGAGCTGAAATGCTTTAAGTTGCTGTTTGAGCTCAGTGGGCAGCAGCAGCATAAACACACACACACACGCACGGGACACACCAAACGGCAGCAACTTGTCACATATCCAAAAAGTACAGCCACTGCAGACTTGGGGGTTAGGGTGGGACTGGCCATGAAAATGGTGCCACCAAAATGTGGAGATGGTGACCAGGTACAGAATGAGGATTTCACACCTTTTGTGAAAATTCCACCTTGGCGAAGTTGAACACAGTTCCTGCAGAATGAGCAGCAATTCAGTAGATTAAGACAGCAAGACCCTCCAGCCATGGCAATCTACACTACACATCTACAATAGTGCAGAATGGAATAGGATACATCTTTGAAGTGCCGAGATCTACTTTTTGGCACAATTCCTTCAGCGGGAATAAAATGGCAGCAATGCAGCAGGGCAAAAGGGAAGAACAACGACACAGCAAATTTGTGGTGCTGACAACCCTGTGCACCAGACACCCTTGTGTTAATTGATTCGCAGCAACAGCAACTCCACTTTCCATTTTGGGCAATATCACCCTAAATCTGGTGAAGAAATCGTGATTGTAGGCACAAAAAGAGTATCAACCAGTATGGCAGAAGATGGGCCATACATGTCTTTCCTGGGTTGAGCTTCCATGTATGATTCTAACAGCAGCAGCAACAACACATACATCCACACAACAACCCCTTCAACGTTTGCCAACGGTAAAGATGTGTTTATGCCGAGCCGGCTCCCTGGGTTCACGAGCAAACAGTGCCGGGCCTGCTGAGGAGCCTGAATCGACGCCAAAACACCCCATGAACCCCATGTATCGGAGCACACGACCACCGCACATGCCACCCACAAGACACGCACGTCCCGAAGCCACAGCCCCAACGAATCGTTCAACCTGAATTTCAAGCCAATTCCAGGGCGATCAGCGTGATCTCGAGCACCCGCCCGCTCACCCCCCCCACCCCCACCACACCTCGCGGGCCCCTGGGTTGCGTGCTCAGCCGCTTGGGAGACGCTGCATCATCGCCTCATCGTACGGCACAGAGTCTCACGCCCACATGCTTCAGAGGGCTGCCCTTGTCTATGACGTGTCTTTTTTCGGCGCGCAACAAACCTCAACCCCTGCCCCCCCTCCCCCCCTTTGCCTCTGCGTTCCTTGCGTTGTGTGCTCATCGTCTCTCGTCCGAAACTCTCCATATCATCCCTTCACAGCGCGCCACAGAGCCTCGCTCACACTTGCTCACGAGGGGCCACCCTTTGCACGATCACCCGCTTCTCTCCCTCTTTGCAACAAATCCTACCCTCCAGCCCCGAGGATCGACCCAACCAACGTAAGCCCCAATATCCCCCACCCGGCATCCCTTCCTGAGCCTTCAGCCCCCCCGCAAGCTCAGAGCGTCCACCCGACGGCGACTTACCCAATTTGTCAAACACCGGCAGGAGCACCGTGCACGCCCGCACGAACCCGCCCGTGGAGATCCCCGGCCTCGCCAGCGCGTCCTCCAGCGCCGCGGTCAGGCACGGCAGGAACTCGTCGGGGCACGCCATCCCCCTCGCCCTCCTCCAGCCACACCGACTGGTCGAATCCTCTCAAGCCAGCCTGGAGCTCAGCACGCCGGCGCCGTTCCCAGATTGCCTCCCTCTTTGCGCCTCCCGGGCCCGGCCGAGGGCTGGATTCCGATGATCGTGAAGTTGGAGCCGCGGGCAAGCGGCAAATTGATGCAACCGGATCGATGCGGCTGGCGGGGGCGATGAAGGGCCGGTGGGGGAAGGCAAGGCGCGGCCGCTGCCGGCAGGGACGCGAGCCTGGACGGGTCGAGGCAGCACGGCGGATTGGCACAAAGGTGGGGTATGTGGTGATGTGGGCTTCGGCTGGTTGGCTCAACCGGGGTTCGCTCACAGCGCCCGAGGGGGAGGATGACATGACATGCGGGGGGGGAGTTTCTGAGCGGCGGCCCTCGGGATGCTGGGGGGAAGGACCGCGGACTGGCGCTGGGCCCGGAGGCCCGGAGGCGGGCCGCGGGGTGCCATTACCTTAAGGGTGAGATTTGTTGCGGGAAAGGAGAACGTGGGGGGGAAACGGGAACGTGTCATTCACAGGAGCAGCCCCCTGGAGCAAGCGAGCGCGTGGGACTGTGTTATTACGTCAGAGGGTCGGGCTGGGATTATGTCATGGGTGTGGCCTCGGGCGTGGGGTCACGAGAGATCGCCAAGGGGCATGCCTTCCTGTGCCTGGACAATCACATGTCAGCCACGGACCGGCCACTGGCATGTAAGGGACCAGCAGCTATTCGGTTGGTCAGTCAAGGGACCAGTCAATCAGGACAATTTGTTCGGGAGCAGCTGCGTGGAGGAATGTTCAAGTTTGCGGCCAGGGATTAGAGGATGGGGAACGCGGGTGCCCACCAGCTGCTCGGTTGTTCAGTCGAGGGGGCAATGAATCAGGGCCATTAGTTTTAGGAGCGGTTGCATGGGGGAATCTTTGACTTGGAGTCTCGCACATTTGGTCGATTTTTCGGGCAATTGATAAAGTCATTTCGCAGTTGCACGAGAGGTTTTGAGGCTGATGAACTATTGGAGTTTTGGTGGCAACGCTGCCCAAGCCAAACTACTGTGATGAAAGCTGGCCGCACACCAAGTTGGCGTGACTGTAGGAAAAATCTAAACCCCAGCCCATGGAGCTTGCGTCCATGGGTTTCCGCTGGCGGCGGGCAAATGGCTGTTGGTATTGGCATTCAGCCTATCCAGCCGCAGGCCGTCCCGCAGCAGCCTGGGCACTCCCACGGGCAAATTTTCCCATTGCGCACAATTTGGTGCGCCTTTGTGTGGCGTTCAAGGCCCTAAAGTGCACAATAAATGCCCCGCCATTCTTTCAAGCAGTTTCAAATCAAGCAACACGAACTGTGTGCATGCGCGCCGCTCTTCCATCAGCGTCTGTCACACACGCCAGCTGGTGGTGACCAATAAGCCAATGGTGCAATTTGCAACCGGTTATCTGTTTCTCAATTGTTCGGTAATTTTTTGTTTGTTTTCTACCAATTATCGTTCTACCAATTTTGTTGCTTTCATTCTGGCCGTTCCGTGCCCAGCCAGGCACAGTGCGTAGGTTGGGCAATTCAACGCTAGCGCGTCAGCGCTGATGCTCTCAAGCCATCAGTATAATAATCGGCACACAATAGCGCAAGTTAATGCTGAGCTTGCCAGCGCTCCCAACCAGTACTGCAAGTTTTTTCGCCCAACCCCAACCACCCCTACCCTGGGCTCGAACTCAAACCACTGCAGCAGAGCTTTCCGGCAATTCATTGCAATTTCTTCACAGACTTTACAGAGCAAATACGCGTTCAGTACCTTGGGCTCCCCGATCCCTATTCCAAACCACTACCGAGGGCAACAACAAGCCACACCCCATCAGTACCCTTGCACATCGAACGACGTGCCACGCCATTCTGCACCACCCACCGCTTCGAGCCGGCAAGCAAAGTGCCTTAAGGCCATCAACCCGACCCTCCCCTTCGACGCGCCTCGCCTCCAAGTGCCGCAAGCCTAGCCGTCGAATTTTGTTCACTGGCGAGTCCCAGGAGCCACTGAGCTCGATCAATTGCCTAGCTGGCCGAACAGCGCCTGCCGAGTGCACAGCGCCCCTCTCCGCCCCCAACCCCCAGCCCCTCCCTTCCCGCGGCTCTGCGTGAGCCAGGCAACTTTCCAAGGGGATCCCTGCCAAGCCGGCAGGCCGAGGGGTGGAAGTCTTCGACTCTCGTCGCCACGGCTCTTCGAGTTCGTCGGTTCGTCGAGGGGGGTGTTGGGCCGAGACTCTCGGCGAGGGCGGCGTGGGTCAGTCGAGGCGGCGGGGGAGGCGTGGTCCGGGCGCCGCATGGCCGGCTTGTGAGGCAGGAGGGCTGACTGTCTGGGTAAGCGGTTGTGTGCTGCTCGCATCGCAGCGGGGCGGCCTGCTGGTGCGTTTCTAGCACCTGTGGATTCGCCGGTCTGCTGCTGATCTGAGTGACATCGCTTGCACCTGGACACCTAGGCACCACTTGGGCGTTGGCGTCTTTGTGTCACATTCTTGCCAACTGCACAGATACTATTGATCAAAATCTTGGATTATCGACTGTGTGTATGATTGTAGTGTGTTAATGTAGATTGTTTGTGGGAGCAGCATATATAACAGCACAATAACACGCTTAACAACAGCATACCCTGCATATTGGGCCACGCAATACATTGCCCGTTTCATAATCATAATAACTCATTCTTACATAACAAGGAAACAGATAGCCGTCAGCTTCATATTTAACCCGATCAAAGCAGTTTCCATGATCAATTCGCTGAAATATAGTGCATCACATAAAAGCAGCCCATGAACCCATTAATTATTGTCACTGACAAGCGTTTGTCGATGGCAAATACCTGTCAAGAAATGCCCTTGCCAGCTGCGATCGGGGGATCGAGCAGCAAGCCCTTTTGCATTGCGATGTTGAAACGGACCAGATCGATTGCGATGAATCTCGTTGCATGCTTCACACGATCCTCTGCATGGCAGACCCCTGGGCCTTCGTGCGCGAATAGGAGGGAATGCGCGCCACGCTGGACCCGCAGTGCCGGCCGGCGTGCCAGGGCCGTGGCCGAACAAAGCGCCACTGGCTGGACCAGAGGCGGGAGGTTAAAGTGGCGCGGAGGGCCGTCATTTCGGTGTGTATGATTTTGGCGGGCGGATCTCTGTGCGCCGGCTCCTGTGCTCAGCCCCAGTCGTCAGGTAGAATTCGCTGGCGGGGTGGAATATGTGATTTGTTGACAGCTGTGCGTTAGGATAGGGTTATTTGAATGAAAGAGAAAGTCACTTTCCTTCATCTTCGCCAGATAGAGGGGTTATGAGCTGGTAGGTCCTTGTCGCGATGGGCCACACATTCGCGTAGGCAGCGGTTTGCCAATTATACGCTGAAACATTATCAATGGTGGTATCTGCCCTCGAGTGCAACATATTGCGTATGCCAGCCTTGAGTATTTATATAGGCAGTAAATGCAAACGTGACGTTCAACACATATCACAAATGCACATTTTCACGTCGAGCAGGAGATGTACGGAAAATTTCTAGGATATGTCTATAAAATGGATATGTGCACCACATCCCGGATAAGGACATCCAGAATGTGGGATTTCATATGCGGGCCATAGCCATTTCCTGCCACCCAATGCAGGATATGGAGGCCCCATATCCTGGATTTGAACCATCCATATTTTTAGCCGACTGAATCAATTTCTGTAGTTGCCTCAAAGCTTCAATTTGCAGGGAAAACCTTTCAGTGCCGCGTTCGCTTGAATCAGATAAATTGCAGAGTGAAACAAATAAGGCGCAAATAATGACTTCAAATCATACCTGAATTGACTTTTCTCAAAAAAATCACCTGGAATATTCTCGCATTTTGCAAATCCACAACACGTCAGTGCCTATTCGATGATACAGACACAGGAACCAAGAATTCGTCAGACGGAAATTTCATGTGTGCGGCTGCACGTGGATTCCCAGGCACAAGCGCCAGCATTCCCTACGGCATTGAACACCAGAATAAAGTGAGTGTCTCGAGGAGGAAGATTTGCCCTAAATCGCCAACGCCAAAAGATTTTGCGGACGGGCGGCCTTCATCATTCAGATGAAGCTGCCCCATAGAGCGCTCCCCGAGTCTTGATATTGAAATCCCCGAGGCAGGATACTGGGAGATACAACATATATCTGTTATCCAGAAATCTATCAGGGTGGCTCCTGGGTGGATGATCAGCCACTTGCATGGGTTAAAGACATAACACTCTTTCATGCAGAATGTCGTTAGTGGATATTACACAAGTGTAGAAATGGTAATGTTGTGCAACTTCAAAATATGTTTTTCTTTGATCTTGAGCATGTCTATTGCATTATGGGTTGATTGCACATATTGAACATAATAGTTTTTACAATTTGCTTGAAAATCAAGATGATGCACACTAATTGTGTTATTGGCTCACTAACGACATTTTGCACGAAAGGTTGTTACATGCCAATATGCACCCAGATGTAACATAAGGGTGGACATCAAATTGCGAATTCTGTCAGGTTTGGAAATGTTCGAAACTGAATGTTCAGTTTCAAATTTGTACAATAATTTGTGAAAGTCTACGATAAAATGTTCGAAACTCGTGATGCCAAGGCACAAGGGATAATTATGTTGCACCAAATAAAGCATTGGCAAATCAGACATGAAGGCATCGCTGAATAAGTACGCAGGCATCGCATAATATATTCAAGTGCATAGAAATAAACAGATATGCGCATTTGCGTATGCACAAGGAAAAGTACGGAGAATGTTGGATGCAGTGTGCTAGCCACAGCACTAAGAAACATAGTGCATCTGATGTCGAGGTCAAATAATTAAGGTGTCTGATAGGACGTGCTACTGTATCTTGGAGCTATAAAGAGGAGCTCAGTGGAGCTGGAGCTTCACTTTTGTTGACATGTATACTAAATGCTGTTTCAACTATTCTGCTGCAGTGCATGGACATTTGGACTTCGATATCG